GCTCCACAACTTCGTCTGGCGTTTAAGGGCGATTCGAGTTGTGGGGTTCAGGGCTTAAGGCATGAGTAGGGGTTCGAGTTGTGGGGCTCAGGGTTGTAGGTTCAGGGTTTAGGGTCTTGGGGGGTTCTGGGTTTAGGGCTCTTGGGGGTTCAGGGTTTGGAGTTTTTTTCGGCTTCTGGGGGTTCAGATGTGCAAAGGTCCTGAGGCCATGGCTGTGATCTCCTGCTCGAAGAGCCCAGAGTTTGCCATGTCCGGCCTACGCAACGCAAAGTCCAGTTGGGCTTAGGGTTTAGGCCAAGGCCCCCTTAAGCCTAAACCCTAAACCCTAAACATCCCTAAACACTAACTTCGGAATGATTCAAGGACTTCTGCAACTCTCACATCTTGGGCACCCGACAGCCTCTCGGCAAACATCTCGAATCCTCAGCCCTACAAAGGCCTAGTACCAAAAAGGCCGCAAGGCCCTTGCAAGGTGTGTGGTTTGGGGATGTGGTCCACTGAAACTTGGGGTTGATACCTGAAACCCTGAACCCTACGACCCCATCTCCTGCGGCCTCTTCCGCAAGATGCTCACTGCCACCTCCGGGGCAAGATCCTTGACCTCAGCGTGGGAGGAGTTTAGGGTTGCGGGCTTCGGTTTTTGGCGGGGGGGGGGGGGGGGTTTAGGGTTTCACGCTGTGTACATAAGAGGCAGCCCTAAGGTCAGCCTCAAACTGGAGCGACCGTGGCAGCTTGCCGAAACAACGTGACAAGGCACACCTGCGACTTCACAATCCGAAGCCAACGCCGGCCCCGAAGGCTAGTCTGCTAGTCACCAAAGGGTCCACTCAGGGATGATTGACAAGGAGGCAAGGGGCGGGTAAACCCAGATCCCCAAGACCTCAACCCTCGACACCCGAAACCTGAGCCCTAAAAAGGAGCTGGGTGCCCAGGAGGGATGACCAGGAGACGATGTAGGCACGCGGCCGACGCCGCTTCAAACGCCTCAGCCAACTTTTCCTGCAGCACCTGCCCGGCTTGCGGGGCGAGGGTTTAGGGCTTTGGGGTTTAGGGCTGTTGGGTTCTGGGGTTCAGGGTTTTAGGGCTTTAGGGTTTTGGGCGCCTTGTGTCTTGCGTGCTGGCCGTTTGAGCCGCGTCAAGGCTCGATTCTAACATTGCCAGCTAAGCCACGGAGCAATCGAAGGCTTAAGGGTCCATGTGCCCATCAAATAGTATGTACTTGGGCAGAGTCCAAGAATTTCCGATCAAGGGCTCTTCTGCTCGAGTGGGAGCCTGGGTTGGCCTGCAAAAAAAAACAAGGCCCTCAACCCTCCCTCCTCGGGCTCCCTGAAACCCTGCATAAATTCACAGACCCCACTAAGTCCTATCGACATAAAACAAGCCTCGCCAGTCTCCGGCTTCTCTGCCGACCTGCACTCCGCGGCATCAATTCGGGTGGGGGTTCTGGGGCTCTTGGCCTTGGGCCTGGAGGGCTTTATATGACTTCGTAGACCCATTTTTAAAAAAAACACGAAACTTCCTAAACTTCCTGAGCCTGCAGGATCTTTGGGCTTTAGGGTTTATTTGCGTTGAACCACTTTCTCTGATTCCTCCGTCCCAAGATCATCCCCTTAGCATCCCTGTGCATTGGTACTTATAGCATCACATTCCCAAAATGCCAGCTCTGCATAAACTCTGTGTCGCCCCCTAAACCATTCCCCAATCCCAAACCCTAAACCCTACCCACCCTGAGTGCCCGCCTGAAGAACGAAGGGGAGAGGCGCCTGGGGGCACTGAACTGCGGGTTCGGACAAGGGATGTCTAATCTGTAAACCGTCCCAGGCTGTGCCCCTTAAGCCCCCCCGACGCTGAGAGCCCCAAGAAACATAATCTGTTGAAAGCCCCCACAAGCTTACAGCAAACCCCAAACAACCCTAAAACCCAAACCCCAAACCCTATACCCTAAACCAAAACCCCAAACCCCAAAGCCGAGACCTAAAACCCCCAAACCCTAAACCCTAAACCTCCGGAAGAAGTATTGCGCAGGGAAGGCGCAGAACTCTCTGGAGGACCTCCAAAGTCTCTCGGGCCTGGGGTTCAGGGCATGGCGTTGAGGTTTGGGGTTGGCTTCTGGGGTTTTAGGGCTCAGGGCTGTTCGAGCTCTAGGGCAGGATCTTGCGGGTTTTGGGGGGGGCGCGTACTTGTTTTGGATATAGGCCTTATGGCCGCCTGGTTGTTGACGCTCGGGACTCGACACTCTAAGCCTTGAGCTTCCCTGAACCCCCCCCTGAACCCCCCCTGAACCCCCCCTGAACCCCCCCTGAACCCCCACTGAACCCCCCCTGAACCCCCCCTGAACCCCCCCCCCGAACCCCCTTGAGCCGCCTGAACCCCCTGAGCTCCCAAAGCCCTGGGACTCCGGACAGCAGCAAGGGGCAGGACGAGGAGCTGGCAACAGTCCTGGGATAAAAGGCCCGAAGCCCTGAATCCCCAAGGGCAGGATGCCTGAAGGATTTAGGGTTTTAGGGTTTAGGGTTTTAGGGTTTAGGGTTTAGGGTTTAGGGTTTAGGGTTTAGGGTTTAGGGTTTAGGGTTTAGGGTTTAGGGTTTAGGGTTTAGGGTTTAGGGTTTAGGGTTCAGGGTTTAGGGTTGAGGGCTTCAGCTCCTCCAAAAAACATCTCTAAGACCCTGGCCTCCATCAGTCCCAAACCTCCAAGTTGCATGATGATGGACCCTCTTTACTTTACTGAGCTGATTTGTGTCATCTTGAAACGGTCCCCGGATTTTAGCGATTCAAAAGGAATGAGCTCATGATGTGAAGTTAAAGGGGACAGGGCGGCTGGCGGCCCGGCAATTCTAAAGGCGTGCCTCTGGAAGGCTTGACTTAACAGCTGACCAAACCCGACCCAAGGCCCCCCAAACAGTGCCGCGATCCTGAATGACCCGGCCAACTTGACTTGATGCAGAAATCCCCTACCAAGATTCAAAGACCCGGCGGCAAGAAAAGCCCACGAAGCTGACGTTTTCTAATCTCTTTCGACTCTACAGCCCTGCATGTTGCAAGTCCATCTCCTTCTCAAAACGAAGCCCCCAAAACCTCTCCAGGCCATCACTCACCCCAGTAAAGCTCCCCCCTGCAAAACCCGACAAAGACAAAGCCAGAATGGAAACCCTCAACCCTAAACCTCACCCCCCCCCCCAATTATAAAAACAAACTAAGGCCCAAACCCTGAGCAGCCCTGCACTCCAAACCCTCCACCCTAACCTAGAAACAAAAACAACCCCCCCCCCCCCACCAAACAAGAGACACTGGGCCCCCGAGCCCAGAGCTCCCGGAGAGGTTCCAGGGCCTCGGCCTCCAGCTGCGAGGCGAGCCTGGGCTCTTGGAGGGCCTAAGAGGAGCATGGCCTTGGAAGAGGGGGGGAAGGTCAGGGAATTAGTCGGGGGATGTTGGGGGTAGGGGTAAAAGCAACCCTAGTCCCATCAAAGGCCAGCGAGACCCCGGAGCCCCTAGCCAGGAAGCCCTGCAAACCCCAACCCCCTGAACCCGGGGGTTTAGGGATTAGGGTTCAAGAAATGGCGCGTGCAGGGTGGGGGGTGTAGGCCCTTTCCCTTGCAGATTCCCATGTGCAAAGGTCCAAGAGCCCGGCAAGCTTTGCAGGTCCTCGCGGCAGTTTGCCGCGTAGAGCGCCAGCTCGTCCTACCAGGATCGTCTTTGGGTTCAGAATTCGGTGTTTAGAAATTGTAAACCTTTAAACCCTGAACCATTTTGAAGGTGCTGGTTTCGGCTGTGCGCTGGTCGCGCTGAGGGTTTGGGGGGTTTAGGGATTTGAGCTTCGGGAGGTTGGAATTCGAGGCTTCCCCCGGGTGGTCTTCTAATAACCCCAATAAACACGCCAACACCAGCCCCTTTTGTCCCTCCCGGGAGGTGCAGATGCCGAGTCCAAGAGGCCCTAAACCTTAAACCCTGAACCCTGAACCCCGGACCCTAAGGCCTCATTGGAGAACGGCCCTTGCCGCATCAGCTGCGAAAGCCTGGGGCGCCCAGTTGCAGGAAATGGAAACAAGGGCCCAAGGATTGCCTGGAGCCCTGCAAGGGTTTAGGGTTTAAAGTTTAGGGTTTATTATAGGGTTTAGGGTTTGGGGTTTGGGATTTAAGGGAACCCTCATCTCTGAACCCTAACAAAGAAATGGCCCCTGGCATCTGCTGCTGAAGACACCATGGACATCTGAGCTCTGAGCAGAACGCTGGCAACTTTGGCCACAAGCGACCTGTGCCAGAAAAATAATCCACTACACATACACACAAAAATACTTTAACCGATTACAACCCCGATACGTAGTATGCTTAATTATTGTAATGGTTCCTGAGTTTTATATGCACGAGAAACACAATTCCTAAGCAGAGTATAGAAGATGGGTATCATCATAACACAAGAAGCAGCAACATCACCTGAGTTCAACCCGCACCCTAAACCACTCCTCTTTCAACTCCAAGCCGGGAACTTGGAGATTCGAATCTGATGATTTACGTAGTGGTTTAGGGTCTGAATATGTTTAATGGCTTAAGGCTTTGCGTCTGTCTTGGGCTCGGCTGGGGGTTTGGCATCTTGGGATCCGTGTTCGCATAAATTGTGCAGCTCTGGCGCTCTCAAATGCTAACCGACCCCCTCTTGCTGGAGGCCCCGGCCGGCCAAGGGCCGCGAAAGAGGACTCGCGCAAGGCCCCAGCAAAGGTGGTCAGAGGCCTTGTCGATTGTCAAACTTGCAGAGCTTTGTAGGAGCTGTGGGGTTTAATCTGGGCACCTGGAGTAGCATCAGGGCAGCACCCTTTTCTTCTCACATGCAGCTTGGGGCAGTACGTGACAGCAAGGTGCAATTTCTCTTGCCGTGCACATCAGCATCAAGCACTCTGTACATTCTCCTGGAAGGAGGCTGTGGGAGATTCGCCTGGTGGCCACACCGCTGAGCATCTCAAGACACTCCAGCCGTGTGCTTCCTGAGTGGCTTCTGGAAAGCTGCCTCAGAATTCATCTCCGTAGCCTTCTTCCTCACCTTCTCCCTCGGCCTTAGCCACACGTCTGAGAACTCAAGTGTCCACTGCCTATGGTTCCAATCCAAGCCAAAGCATGTACCTGTTGCTTCCAAGTTGGGCCCAGTGGCCGTTTCGATGCCCACCTGCGGTTAAGGATTTGGAGGGTCGGGGTACGCTGCGGGTTTCAGGTTCCCCCACACCCCCTGATTCCTACAGTACCCCCCCCCAACCCTAAACCCTAAGATGAAAACTAACCTGCTAGTAACGGCCCTGGATTCGCTTCGGCATCAGGCTGTAGCATCAACAGCCAAGACCGAGCTGGACCCTATGAAGCAAGTTGTTAAGCCACGGCTGCGCTTCCTTCAAGTGCCCCAGGGCTTGAGGCAGTTTTGGGGTGTGCTTGCCACCTCCTCGTAGTCCTTCTCCAGGGCCGCCAGGTCCTCGCGCGCCTCGGAGAACTCGCCTTCCTCCATGCCTGTGAGGAGTTTAGGGTTTAGGGTTTAGGGTTTAGGGTTTAGGGTTTAGGGTTTACCCTAAGCCGCCCCGGGGTGCATATGAGGGAGGGCGACCAAACCCCAACCCCAAAATCATCAGAGATCCCTGGGTGCTGGGTGGAAGCTTAACGGCTTCACACGTGGGCCTCTTAGGGAGAAAAAACTGTACTTTAAGGCTGCGGTGGTCTGGGGTTTCGGTTATGCGGGTGTGGGTGTGGGAGTGTGGTTCCGTCGGTCCTTCGCCGACGTAGTGGTGAACGAAGGCGCGCTTCCTCACCAACTGACAGGCACTCGGAGGCCCTACGCCCTACGCCTACACTTTGAAGTCGTCCCAGACTTCGAGCTCAGGGGCTTTCGTGGCTTAAGGGTTGTCGGCCTGCTAAGAGCCAGTGTTTCAGGGCTGGTACAATGCAACCGTAACCCTCAATCCTACGTAAGCCTTCCCCACCGCACGCCTTCCCCCCGACTCCCTCGCCAGTCATATGTCCCCATGTCTTTTCAGCCTTCCCTGGTTTTGCTCAGCCGCTGCATTTTTTATTGTCTCCATACTGAACAGTATGTGCTTTTGCGAAATCGGCAGAGTCATGGCTATCACATTGTTATGATCTAGTCGTACAGCTGTACAATATAGGGGTCTGCGAGGAAGGGGTCAAGTTCGACAACCTGAACCCTAAACCAAGAGACCCCAAGTCCCCAAAGGTTGGCAAGTCCAAGCGATTCCGAACAAGGGGGGGGAGGGGGGGGGGATTCGGGCTTGGGGGGGGGGGGGAGGGGTTTAGGGTTAGGAAAGCCAAGATGCGAGTACATGAGGTCGAACTTGTGGTCGATGCGCGAGAAGACTTCCTTGATACAGGGGGCACGTGCAAACCGTGAAGCCGTGTCATGGTAGGGTCCTTGAAGGAGCGTTTAGGATTTACATGGTGGTCTCCGAAAATTCTAGTTGGGAGTACGGGCATATTGGACTTTGATGGGTAGTTCTTAGGTACTTAGCGAAGCTTCGGGAGCTGTAACTGTACCAGAGGGCACGGCATGAGGGATGACGAAGTTCCACGCCCCCACTGGGCCCTCTTCCATCAAAGACGCTACCGCATGGTGCAGAAACCCTGCACAACCTGAAGCCTTCCACTCCTGACACCCTGAAAAATGTTCACAGCAACCTCCAGGCCAAGGGTCAGCGATGGCAGTGGAGTTCGAGATCATGCAGCATGCGCGCATGACCTTGGCCAGGTCTCCACCTGAAAGCTGAGGATGTAGCTTAAGGCTTCGCCGAACCTCTAGAGGCTTCAGGGAGTAGGGCTTAAGTGCTACGGCAAAACTAAGCCCTAAACCCCAAAAACTACACTGTGTCGCTTGGTTAGGGATCCTGAGCCCTAAACCCAAGCACAGAACCACCAGAACTTGCCTGGGACCACGGTTGGCGGCTGGTAGTTGATGCCACACTTGAAGCCGGTCGGGCACCAATCCTCAGTCGACGCCATGCTGGGCCCCTGGTTGATAGGGGAGTGTTGCAAGCTTACTGCTTCGGGTGTTTAAGGTCCGGATTGCGGAATTTGGGGGGGTGTGCAGGGGGAGCTAGGCTAGGGCATCTGGGTTCAGGACTCCTGCAGCCCGCAATCATCCCAAGTCCGAGCCGTCTCTGACAGAGTCCCTCCAGCTGAATCTCACCGAGCCGGTGGGGCCCAGTGAGGCGTCATGTGGTTTAGGGTTCATGTGGTGTTGGCTTGCAGTCCTTAAGCCCTGAAAAGTATTCCTAAATATGATCTGTCCAAAGGGTCGACCTAGTTCAGGATGAGTTTTAGGGTCGAGAGTCTGTCTGAGGAGCGCACTGAACCCCTAAATCATCCTACATGCCGAGCCTCTGTGCGGTTTTGCACTGTTTGGGGTTTGGGGTGTGGGGGATGGCCGAGGGCTGAGGATTGCAGAGCTACCCCCCAAACCTCTCTGACAGAGTCCCGAACATCCCGACGAACGGGACAAAGGCTTTGTACTTAGTTGAGTCTCACCGAACGATGGGCTTGAGACTGCCAGATGCTTGGAGCATCGTATTGACGGCTCTGGATATGGGAGATCTAAGGATTTCGGGCTCTGCTTCAGGGTTTGGAGCGCAGCAGAACACGTCATCCCGCCCAGCGTCCACAAACTGGATGGTGCGCTTGGTCTTGATGGTGGCCACTGCGGCATTCACGTCCTTGGGCACGACGTCGCCACCTGAGAAGCCGTCAGAAGCATCTTAGCTAAGCCTCCAAATCCGAGCGAGCTTTCTCGTAGAGTTCTGGGCCCTCCAAAACCCTGACATGATCATGCCTACGTCTGCTTTGCTCGGGCCCCGCGCGGTACATCATGCAGCAGGCCATGTACTTCCCATGTCGGGGATCGCATCTGGGTCGGATTGAGGCTGACTTGTTGGCTGCTTGCTGCTCTGATGTCAGCCCTCTCAAACATGTCTCCTGACTACGCGTGTGCACCGTTGGTGCATGTGGACCGTCTAGCTTCGTTGCCTGCTTACCAGCTCAAGTCGGCCGAGATGCTTGACCATCATGGAAGCCGGCTCAAAGACGGACATCGTGATCTCGGCCACGGAGAGCTGCTCATGGTAGGCCTTCTCTGCGGAGATGACCGGGGCGTAGGACGTCAACATGAAGTGGATGCGCGGGTAGGGCACCAGGTTCGTCTGGAACTCGGTGATGTCGACGTTCAAGGCTCCGTCGAAGCGAAGGCTGGCCGTGAGGGAGCTGATGATCTGGGCGATGAGACGGTTCAGGTTCGTGTAGGTCGGGCGCTCAATGTCCAAGTTCCTGCGGAGGAGGTGAGCTGGGCAGGACAAGGGCCGCTCTCTCAAGAACCCGGCCAGGGAGAGCCGTCCCAACTGTCCATGCAAAGTGTCCAAAACAAATGCCAAGGCTCCTGCGGCAAATGTCATACAGCGCCTCGTTGTCGTACATGATCGTCACATCCGTGTGCTCCAACAGGGAGTGGACGCAGAGGACCTTGATACATGACAGAACATAAATGGAGGACCGGTTGCCCACCATACAGAAAGGCGCGGACGTCCTAAACTCGGACGAGGCGCCGTGTTGTACGGTTCGACGACTGCTGTTGCCACCTGTGGGCAGCACCAGACCGTGAAGGAAATCTTGCTCTTCTTTCCGTAGTCCACGGACAGGCGCCTCGGGGGAGACTCTGGGAATCCTCCACCCCGACGCAACCATTTCATGGCCTTCACCCTGCGAACACTTCAGTGCCACTCAACACTTCCAACCCTGTGTGCCCTTCTCACCATTTCATGGCCTTCAACCCATTCCAAACCGCCTAAGCCCTTCTCAACTCGAAAACGAAAGAGCGAAACCGGAAACCCCGGAATCCGGAGAAAGGCGCTCAAGCATCAGGCAGCCCAAGCCGGAGCCGGTGCCTCCGCCGCAGGCCTCGGCGGTTATTTTGAAGTCGCGCAATAAACAGATTAAACCGCCTTCTATATGCTGAACATTGCTGAACCTTCCCCTCCACAGAAACTGGAAAGAATCTTGGAGCGGCCCAGAGGCGTTGTACACGCAGAAGCCCTGCAAGCCGGTGCCTCACATTGAATCAGCATAAGTCTCAAAACGTCTGCCAATAATGACCTGTGAAAACCACCGTGCCGGAAAGCTGAAGACTGTACGAGCTTCAGTGTTTGGGCGAGTTTACAGTTTAGATTGGCAGGTTCAGGGTCTGAACTTTCAAACAGTTCCAAGCGGACAGCCCAGTGGCAGTTGTCGGCCAACTTGCGGATCCTCCAAGTTTAAAGCCCAAGCAAGACTAGCAGGGCACATGGGCACATGCAGGCGGAATGTCTGCTGGCTCAGAAAGCATTCTGGCTATGTCTCTTAGCCGATTCTCAACCACACCGGCAAGACTTTCAACAGCTTTTCCTCTGATAGACAGAACAACAGCCGGCTCCTGTCGAGCACCAGGTCGACAATCTCCTTCCCGATCGTGTAGTGTCCGCGTGCGAAATTATTTGCCTGAAGGCGGGCCAGGGTGCTTGACTCACAACGGCTGAAAGAGGACGAGCTAAGTTGGAGACTCACAGCTGTTGGTATGCTTGGGTTGTGTTAGTCCCAGCAGGAGAATTAATTATTGCGTCCATCGCTTGCGGAGGCAGTCAAGCCAAGTGTCGGCGTCCTCCTTGCCGGAGATCAGCTGCTCCGGGTGGAAGAGCTGACGGTACGTGCCGGTGCGAACCTCATCCACGACGGTCGGCTCAAGATCCTTGGAACGTCGTTGATGCTACGTGAAGATGCAAAGGCCAACATGTGGGCTATGGCCGGCATCAGGCAAGTCCCCAAACACAACTGGCACGCTTTTGCCCACGCGCGTCTAGCAGACTCTACGGCAGCAAAGTGGGGAAGCAATTGAAGCAAAAGCTTAAAACAAACCAGAAAACACCAGAAATAGTCTTTGATGCAAACCCTTCAAGGACGGGGTTCACATTCAATGAAGTAGTGAACGCTTGAGTCTGCGGCTGCGGGGGCGTCGACGCCCAAATATGCATTCTGCGGCTTTAAAATAGTGCACTTGAGATGAAGGCTTTCACTCGTGAGGGCACCATCACGAGCCAAACTGTTATTCCGACCTTTTGCCGCGCACGTGCGGGAAATCGCATGGTGACTGAGCTCCAGTCCACCATGACGCAGCGCGGGACGTGCTTGCCCGCACCCGTCTCTGAGAAGAAGGTATTGAAGGCGTCCTTGGCGGGTTTTTGTGACTTTTAGGCACTGGATCTCACATGCAGCATCACACCCGTTTCAATTCAACCCTGCGGTCAACCTCTCAACTCCCGACGCCCCATCTTTCTCAACCGGGCGTCATCTCCGCCTCCAATGGTCTTGTCCTGAGATGCACTCATCTACGCCGCGAAGAGCGTAGGATTTGGGATGGCTTAGGAACTTAGGGCGTGTAGCACCGTAGCGGTGAGGTTTAGAGCTTAGAGGGCTTGGGATGTTGCTTCGGAACCATGCACCCAGAGTACTCCAGAGTACTGAAATAAGGGCAGGCCAGGGTCACTGGGCATCTGCCCGTCCGGCTGAATGCCATGCTCGAGGCAGAAAAGCTCCCAGCAGGCATTTCCGATCTGCACGCCGCCCTGCAGGGATCAACGAACGGCACGGGCCCCTGATCCCGCGACCCCCTGAAGGCTACAATGCAACAACGAGCACACACACACAAGGGACAACGAGCCTGAATCTCGAATCCCTAAACTCGAGCCCCCGCCTGGCCGATGTGGATGCAGATGGCCTCACGCATGGCTGCGAAGGGAAGTCGAAAGACTGGAAGGTCTCGAACTGTTGGAGGGCGTCCTCAACCACCGCGCGATGTAGCGGCCTCAAACACCGATCCTTTGAGCCGAAACGAGGAGGAAAACCGGCAGACAACTTGGCTGGGCTTGCGGCTTTGTAGGATCTGAAAGTTGATTGCTTGGGGGGAAGAAGAGTTCCAAACCCTGCGGGGACAAAAGGATCACTGGCACCTCCACAACTCAAAGAAGCCTTTGCTTTGCTGTGGCAGCTTCAAGTTTGTCAACTGATGTGCAGCAGGCAAGCTTCATGTCCCTGCCTATGCAGGCCCCTGCGCCGTTCTTTCTCGCGCGCAGTGCGGCTGTACGTGTCAGCAAGATGCAATTTCTCTTGCCGTGCACATCAGCATCATGCAGTCGCAGGGAAAGGAGCCACGTGTGCTTCCTGAGTGGCTTCTGGCAAACTGCCTCAGAACTCGTCTCCGTATCCTTCTTCCTCACCTTCTCCCTCGGCCTTGGCCGCACATCTCGGAACCCTAGTGTTCGCGGCAGAGCATCCACTGAGCTGCTTCCCACATTCGACCAAGGGGCAGTTTCGATGCCCACCTGCGCTGTCCGGCATAGAGCATAGGGCTATCGTCATCAAAAAAAGCGGGACGGGTGTGGTGGACCCCAAGCCAACATTCCAAACGCGGGGCCCGCGCCAGTTTAGGGCTCCGGGTTTGTCGACTTGTACAATTCGGTGTGAGGCAACCCTGATGAAGCCCGGCCTCCTCGTAATCCTTCTCCAGGGCCGCCAGGTCCTCGCGGGCCTCGGAGAACTCGCCCTCCTCCATGCCTGGCGGGGCCAAAACATAGTATATGTTGAGGCTGAGATGGTTGCCTTCCTTGGATCATGTGGGTGCTTCAGCTTTGTAAGCTTTGGGGCTTCATGGTCAATCCGACAGGTCCTTCGCCGACATAGTGGTGGACGAAGGCGCGCTTCCTCGCCAAGCCCGGCCCGGGATCGGAATGAAGTTGTTCCAAGAAGGACTCATGGACACTGGAAGAAATGAGCAACACCACCCCAGAAGAAGCTACAGTTCAGGAGACCCTGTCACACTCACGTCGGCCGAGAAGCGAGTACATGAGGTCGAACTTGTGGTCGATGCGGGAGAAGACTTCCTTTGGCGCAAGGACGGCGCAACCTCTCTAGCCATCATAAAGGTACCGTGACCTGGAACCCTATAAACCCCAAACCCGACGAACAACTTCGAGCAAGGGGTCCGCGATGGCGGTGGAGTTCGAGATCATGCAGCACGCGCGCATGACCTTGGCCAGGTCTCCACCTCAAGGTTTCGGATTGAGGGTTCAATCGGGCTTCGGATGGTTTAGGGTATATAGTTCAAGTATGCAGTGTCGAGAGGCTGTTCGGGGGGGAGGGGGGGGGGGAAGAGAGGTACCGGACCTACCATCTCGTACACAATGCTGTACATTTAGTGGCAGATTCCAGGGACGGCCGGATGCATCGTCGGGCCTCTATGGTGCTCGGAGTTGCGTGGTTGGGTCTTCGCAGAAGGCGATCCCAAGCTCATCCAAGCTCATGAAAGATCCATAAATGCCATAACCTGAACATCCCTGACAAAACCTTGCCTGGGACGACAGTCGGCGGCTGGTAGTTGATGCCACACTTGAAGCCGGTCGGGCACCAATCCTCAGCGGACGTCGTCGGGAACAAGGCTTCATTAACTAGCACCGCATGTGGCTTTCTGGCGATGGGAGATGTAAGGAGTTTCGGGATTGGGCGTTGAGGATTGCAGTGCGGTGCTTTCTCTGCTGTAATTTGGCTTCAGCATGACTCGCCATCCCAGCGTCCACGAACTGGATGGTGCGCTTGGTCTTGATGGTGGCCACTGCGGCATTCACGTCCTTGGGCACCACGTCGCCACCTGCGAAGTGGTCTGTAACTTCTAAACCTCCAAAGGCTGAGAAAGGTCTGAGACTCTGAGACCTCCACAACCCGGACACTACCCGGACCACTCCTACGCCCGGGCCCCGCGCGGTACATCATGCAGCAGGCCATGTACTTCCCATGTCGGGGATCGCACCTGGGTGGGATTGAGGCTGCCTTGTTTCTTGCTTGCCGTTGTAATGTCAGCTCTCTCATGAAGTCGCTGACGCAGTTGCCAGCTGCTGTTTCCTGGCTACACGTGCACCGTTGGCACACGGAGACCCCCTAGCTTCGTTGCCTGCTTACCAGCTCAAGTCGGCCGAGATGCTTGACCATCATGGAAGCCGGCTCAAAGACGGACATCGTGATCTCGGCCACGGAGAGCTGCTCATGGTAGGCCTTCTCTGCGGAGATGACCGGGGCGTAGGACGTCAACATGAAGTGGATGCGCGGGTAGGGCACCAGGTTCGTCTGGAACTCGGTGATGTCGACGTTCAAGGCTCCGTCGAAGCGAAGGCTGGCCGTGAGGGAGCTGATGATCTGGGCGATGAGACGGTTCAGGTTCGTGTAGGTCGGGCGCTCAATGTCCAAGTTCCTGCGGAGGAGGTGCGCTGGGCGGGGCAAGGCCCGTTCTCTCAAGAACCCGGCCAAGGAGAGCCGTCCCAAATCACCACGCAAAGTGTCCAAAACATTCCAAAACAGACGCAAAGGCTCCTGCGGCAAATGTCATACAGCGCCTCGTTGTCGTACATGATGGTTACATCTGTGTGCTCCAACAGGGAGTGGACGCACAGGACCTTGATTCATCTTGATTCATGACTTCACAAAAGTTGTGGACCGGTTGCGAGGTGCTGATGAGAATAGGGCAAAACAGCACACAAAAACTTCAACCACCACACAGGAAGGCGCGGAAGCCCTAAACTCGGACGAGGCGCCGTGTTGTACGGTTCGACGACTGCTGTCGCCACCTGTGGGCAGCACCAGACGGTGAAGGAAATCTTGCTCTTCTTTCCGTAGTCCACGGACAGGCGCCTCAGGCGAGATTCCGGGAATCTCCCCCGCTCCCCCCTCCCCACGACGCAAAAACTGTCATGCAACAACTGTCATTGTCATGGGACCTTCAGCCTAACTAAGCCCCGGTCAAAAAACCGCCTAGACCCTAGAATGCGGAGAAAGGGGCTCAAGCATCAGGCAGCCCAAGCCGGAGCCGGTGCCTCCGCCGCAAGCCTCGGCTGTCTGAACATTGCTGAACCTTCCCTTCGAGACGAGCTGGACAGAATCTTGGTGCGGCCCAGAAGCATTGTACACGCAGAAGCCCTGCAAGCCGGTGCCTCAGACTGAATCAGCAAGTCTCAACACGTCTGCCAATAATGACCCGTCAAAACCACCGTGCCGGAAAGCTGAAGAGTGCACGAGCTTCAGTGTTTGGACGAGCTTACAGTTTAGATTGGCAGGTTCAGGGTCTGAACTTCTGCGTGGGCCGGTTCCAAGCGGACAGCCCAGTGGCAGTTGTCGGCCAACTTGCGGATCCTCCAAGTGTAAGCAAAAGCGAGATTAGCAGGGCACATGCGCAAATGCAGGCAGAATGTCACCTGCAAGAATGTCAACAGCTTTTCCTCTTGCAGAACAACAGCCGGCTCCTGTCGAGCACCAGGTCGACAATCTCCTTCCCGATCGTGTAGTGTCCGCGTGCGAAATTATTTGCCTGAGGGGGGCTAGGTTGCTTGACTCAACGGCTGAAAAAGGACGAGCTAAGTTGGGGACTTACAGCTGTTGGTATGCTTGGGGTCCGGCAGATTAACTATTGCGTCCATCGCTTGCGGAGGCAATCAAGCCAAGTGTCGGCGTCCTCCTTGCCGGAGATCAGCTGCTCCGGGTGGAAGAGCTGACGGTACGTGCCGGTGCGAACCTCATCCACGACGGTCGGCTCAAGATCCTTGGAGCTATTATTTTACTGTAAATGCGCCATCCTGGCTGGTGGGATAGACGCAAAAGCCATCACGGCTTGGCCAGAGAGGCCGTAGTGGTATGGCATCATTGACGTTACGTGAAGATGCAAAGGGCAACGTGTGGGCCATATCCGGCATCAGGCAAGTTCGCTCACAACTGGCACGCTGCTGCGCCGCACGCGCGTCTAGCGGACTCTAGTGCGGAAACCAAAGCTCAACATCCAAATGAGAAAACACCAGAAACATGATTCAAACCCTTCAAGGAAGGGGCACATATTCAATGAAGTAGTGAACGCTTGAGGCTGCGGGGGCGTCATTTCCCGAATATGCATTCTGCAGCTTTGAAGGAGTGCGCTTGAGATGAAGGCTTTCACTCGTGTGGGCTCCATCACGAGCCAAACGGAAATCGGATGGCGACTGAGCTCCAGTCCACCATGACGCAGCGCGGGACGTGCTTGCCCGCACCCGTCTCTGAGAAGAAGGTATTGAAGGCGTCCTTGGCGGGTTTTTGTGACTTTTAGGCACTGGATCTCACATGCAGCATCACACCCGTTTCAATTCAACCCTGCGGTCAACCTCTCAACTCCCGACGCCCCCTGTTTCTCAACCGGGCGTCATCTCCGCCTCCAATGGTCTTGTCCTGAGAGTGCACTCATCTACGCCGCGAAGAGCGTACGTAGGATTTGGGACGGCCAGGGTTTGTGGCACCGTAGCGACGAGGGTGGGCGCTTGTAGCAGGGCTTGGGACGTTGCTTCGGAACCATGGCACCCCAGAGTACGCCAGAGTACTGAACTAATGGCAGGCAAGGGTCGCTGGGCATCTGCCCGTCCGGCTGAATGCCATGCTCGAGGCAGAAAAGCTCCCAGCAGGCATTTCCGATCTGCACGCCGCCCTGCAGAGATCAACAAACGGGACGGCCCTGATCCCCACCCCTGAAAATGGAACTACTCCGACGCCGATGTGGCTACAACGCAACAACGAGCACACACAAGGGACAACGAGCCTGAATCTCGAATGCCCCAAAAAGCCCCAAAACTCGAACCCCTGCCTGGCCGATGTGGATGCAGATGGCCTCACGCATGGCTGCGAAGGGAAGTCGAAAGACTGGAGGGTCTCGAACTGTTGGAGGGCGTCCTCAACCACCGCGCGATGTAGCGGCCTCAAACACCGATCCTTTGAGCCGAAACGAGGAGCAAACACGGCGGACAACTTGGCTGGGCTTGTGGCTTTATCGGATCTGAAAGTTGATGGCTTTGGGAAGAATCCACAACTCCAACACTCCAAGAACATGCAGACCCCTGCGCCTTTCTGTCTCGCGTGCAGTGCGGCTGTACGTGTCAGCAAGATGCAATTTCTCTTGCCAGGCACATCAGCATCATGCAGTCGCAGGGAAAGGAGCTCCTGAGTAGCTTCTGGCAAACTGCCTCAGAACTCGTCTCCGTATCCTTCTTCCTCACCTTCTCCCTCGGCCTTGGCCGCACATCTCAGAACCCTAGTGTTCGCGCAGAAGCCAGAGCATCCACTGAGCTGCTTCCCACATTCGACCAAGGGGCAGTTTCGATGCCCACCTGCGCTGTCCGGCATAGAGCATAGGGCTATCGTCATCAAAAAAAGCGGGACGGGTGTGGTGGACCCAAGCCAACATTCCAAACGCGGGGCCCGCGCCAGTTTAGGGCTCCGGGTTTGTCGGCTTGTACAATTCGGTGTGAGGCAACCCTGAAGCCCGGCCTCCTCGTAGTCCTTCTCCAGGGCCGCCAGGTCCTCGCGGGCCTCGGAGAACTCGCCCTCCTCCATGCCTGGCGGGGCCAAGAACAGAGCTGTCTCCAGAGGCTGAGACGGTTGCCTTCCTTGGGTGATGTTGGCTCTGTAGCTTTGAAGGGCTTAAGGGTTGGGGGCTCCATGGTCGGTCGACCGGCCTTCGCCGACGTAGTGGTGGACGAAGGCGCGCTTCCTCGCCAAGCCCGGCCCGGGATCGGAATTGAAGTTGTTCCAAGAACTCTCGCAGATATGGGGGAAACGGGGCGCAAGACAACTCCACAACAACCTTTACCCAACAAGCATTTAGGAGATCAGGACGTGTAAGCAACTAGGCTTTTCCGTTTGAGAAGCCGAAAGCACAAAAAGGCTCGAAAACAGGGTCCCCGGTTGATTGTGGGGCCCAACCCTGAGACTTTGAGAGATTCGCGTTGGCCGAGAGGCGAGTACATCAAGTCGAACTTGTGGTCGATGCGCGAGAAGACTTCCTTGGCGTGGCACCGTCAAGCCCATCAAGCCACGAAACCCCTGAACCTCTCGCAGCATCATACAGGGACCCGGACCTGGAACCCTATAAAACAGCCCAAACCCAACAAAAAACCGCGAGCAAGGGGTCCGCGATGGCGGTGGAGTTCGAGATCATGCAGCACGCGCGCATGACCTTGGCCAGGTCTCCACCTGAAGGTTTGGGACGGGCATTTGCAGGCTCTTCGAGGGAGCAGGGCGAGCTCAGATGGGATGCCGACGATCGTGATGCTCTCATGTCGGTGTGTTGATGGTGCTCAGGGTTGCGTGGTTTCTTTGATTTTTTTGATTCCGCAGAGGGCGCGCAACTTGAGCTCCAAGCCACTCCAGAACATCCTGGAACCACCCAACCCCTGGCCTGGGACCACGGTTGGCGGCTGGTAGTTGATGCCGCACTTGAAGCCGGTCGGGCACCAATCCTCAGGTGGCGCCATCTGTTTGAGGGGCTTCAGGAAAAAGTTGCCGTTTCGCCCGACGAACGTCGGGAACAAGGCTTGACTAGCTAGCTGAGCCTCACAGAGCCGCGGGCTTGGGATCGCCAGATATTTAAGGAGTTTCGGGCTCCGGTCATCAGGATTAGATGGAAATTAGGCTGCTGTTTCGCTACTGCTTCGGGCGCCGCATGACTCGCCCTCCCGCCCAGCGTCCACGAACTGGATGGTGCGCTTGGTCTTGATGGTGGCCACTGCGGCATTCACGTCCTTGGGCACCACGTCGCCACCTCCGAAGTGGTCTGAAACTTCTACAGTAAACCAAAAAGAACGAGAAAGCTAGAGTCGTAGAGAGGCTGAGAAAGGTTCTGAGACTCTGAGACCTCCACAACCCTGAGCACTCCTACGTCTGCTTTACCCGGGCCCCGCGCGGTACATCATGCAGCAGGCCATGTACTTCCCATGTCGGGGATCGCACCTGTTGTCGAATTGAGGCTGACTTGTTGGCTGCTTGCTGCTCTGTTGCTCTCTCCTGGCTACGCGTGCACCGGTGGTGCATGTAGACCGTCTGGCTTCGTTGCCTGTTTACCAGCTCAAAAGTCGGCCGAGATGCTTGACCATCATGGAAGCCGGCTCAAAGACGGACATCGTGATCTCGGCCACGGAGAGCTGCTCATGGTAGGCCTTCTCTGCGGAGATGACCGGGGCGTAGGACGTCAACATGAAGTGGATGCGCGGGTAGGGCACCAGGTTCGTCTGGAACTCCGTGATGTCGACGTTCAAGGCTCCGTCGAAGCGAAGGCTGGCCGTCAGGGAGCTGATGATCTGGGCGATGAGACGGTTCAGGTTCGTGTAGGTCGGGCGCTCGATGTCCAAGTTCCTGCGGAGGAGGTGCGCTGGGCGGGGCAAGGCCCGTTCTCTCAAGAACCCGGCCAGTGTCCAAAACAGATGCCAAGGCTCCTGCGGGACGGGACGGGCCAAGCGCGAAGCTCCGAAGAGCCGGGCTTTGCAGAACATGGCGCAAAAGTGGCAAAACTAAGGAACTATACAACCCAAGGCGAACCAGGAAAACAACCCGAGCCCCGAGACCCGAATCGGTTGCCGAAGGCAAACGCTCCACTGCACTGCTGCTGAGTGCAGTGAGTACATTAACGAGGTGCTGGGGGGAGGGGGCGCGAAGCTGCGACGCGCCCCCCGCACCCCGCTAGCGCCCACCGGTAAGCTCTCTCACCAAGGTGCCCCTACGATTGGGGCGGTATGGCCTCACCTCCCAACTCTTGAGCGGCACCTCACGACTATTGGTCTCAGGTGCGCCCGGCTGGGTGATCCCAAACAAGGAAGTTCGAAAACTTTGGCCCTCTGCGGTGCTTGCAACGGTGATCTCATACGGGCTCTGGTCTGCCGTGCGGGATTGAGCAATGCGAAGAGTGATGTCAGACACAACGTGATCCGCTCTGCCCACACGCACCACCTCCACCAAAGCAGTGAGAGCTGCCTTCACCTCAGCAGAAGCCGTCAGGACTGGCTGGTCGCCTCCCATGAGAGTGTGGATGCCGTCCAGGAGAGCACGGAGGCGCGCCGTCGTGCAGCTGCAGCCATCAGGGTGGGGCTTGCCAACCTCATTCTTGCTCTTCCAGGATTTGGCCGCCTCTTCGACTGAGTCATTGATGGCCTTGGGGACAAACAAGAAAATGGTCAGCGCCGCCCGAAGCTTCTCAATTGCGGCATCGTGTGCACAAAGAAGACGCTGGATGGTGCTGTCACGGTTCTGGCCACGAGTTTTGTCCTGACCATCCCGTCGCTGGCGCTTGGGCTGCTGTCTCTCGGGCATGGGCACGTGCGAGCGGGGTCCGAAGACGGACCAAGCGGGGAGGGATGAAACTTCCAAATGTGGGGCCTTGAGCATCAAAAACATCACTGTGACGGTGGAAGCGAGCAGGATGCCAAGGAGGCCGCTCCGCACGGGAGTGCACTGGCCTCCCCGCCACTCCCAGGACCAGCCCCGCGAAGGGGTGCCAGCGGTCCTGAGCCTGCGTGATGATCGCACAAACTGGCTGACCGATTCCCCACACTCCTACAGGTGTTTGCGAAAAGCATGGGAGAGGAGGAAGAAGAGAGAACTGAAGAAAAGCTTGAGACCTGCAATCACAGCAGAGTGTGTGTACCTCCCGGCTTGTTAGCTTTACTGACATGAATCTTTAGAGCACGCTCTGTTTCGAAACGCAGCCCACAGCCTGCAACTTCACACGCGAAAGGCCACTGAGCCCTTTCTGCCGCCGTCACACGGCGTTGGTTGTGGCCAGCGTAGTAAGTCTTCGAAGCCTGCGCCCGCTGAATCTGACGTGGCTGATGTTTCGGCTGTGGAACTGCAGGCGCAGCGGCTGCTGCGCGCTTTGGAGCGGCCGGAGGGTCTGCACGTGCAGCGGCGGCACGCCGCTCCCGCTGTAACTGCAGGCGGCGTTCGTGAGCCTCAGGTGACGGCGGCCTGCGGCCTTCCTGCCGTACCCAGGGGGCCAGGCCCGGATCGACAAGGGTGTTTTTATGATGATGCGATTCCTGCCGGTCCTGGAACATGGCCTGATCAAGAGCTTTCTGGATAAGGCACTCCCAAGCTTGCCGGTCCGAAGCTTTCTGGTGAACCTCGTCTTCTTGGAACCCATGCCGATGACACAGCTCGACCCATCTATCCGGGAGGCTCTTGCGATCCGCAGTGATGCGGCCACCAGACCGAGAGTGGGTCTTCTGAAACCGACCGACATCAATGGTGCCGCGGGCAAACTTGCGGGCGTGCGCGCGGGGGTCATTAACACGCATACGAGCAACATGCCCTAGCCACCGCATCTGATCACGTTCAAGGGCGGCCTGCACTGGTGGAATCTCAAGCTTAGCGCGCAGATCATTGTGATTAATACCTTTCTCGTTCATTGTGCGCAGGCGGGTGCGGCAAACATAACGCGATGCAGTGTTCAAAACTGCTTGCATGCGAACATAATCGCGTTTGCGCGTTGACCTGGTTTTGCCTGAGTATGCAAGAGGGCTGTAGACGAAGGTCATGAGCAACCTACCCAGGACCTTGAGAGACAAGCGCGAACCCTTGAGGGCAGGTCTCAACTTGCTCCAGCACGCGATGCCTCTGCGAATGTTGCGATTAACAGCCTCTTCCGGCCCCAACCCCCCTCCTACCAGGCAAACATTTTCATTGCTTCCGTAAACAAATTTTTCACGCTTACCAGCATGCTCTGCGGACCCCCAAACCCCGACTGCAGCAGAAAACGCATCCATGCCTGAGGGATGCCCCAGTTCAGCTTCGTGTAGCTCCTGGCGCAGGCCATGCAATGTTGTGTCATCTGCAAAGATCGTAGTGTCAACCGTTAGGTGCTGCACAGGGCGGTCGTCAGCCTTGCGAGTCCAGTTTGATGACAAGTGAAGGTCCGAGGTCCATCGCCACGGTATGCCGCAGGGCAATCCCCTGGCTGCCGCATGCTCACGGCGTTTTTGCTGGGCAAAGCGAACAACAGCACTATAAAGGACATTCCAGGCCCAAGGGGATGTCCCATCCCCTTCACCAAAACCCCTAGTCGGTTTGTAGGGTTCACTTAGGGAAGCCGGGGTGGGGGACGGCCCAGTTCTAACCTTATAATGCCTATGGCAGTGAAAACCACGCAGCGCATTGGTGAACGGTCCCTCAGGGGAGACTCCATGATGAGCAAGTATGTGCCAGAAGGGCAGTTTGTTGGCAGTGGGGTAGGCTTTTCTTAAGTCCATGAGTCCAGCTTCATAGCAAGCTCCTTGCCACCCAAAGCTTTGCCAGGCCGAAATTTCTTCATTCAGTCGTCGGACCATGAACAAAGCATCGTCCGTGCCCAGTCCTCTGCGAAACCCAAAGCTCTCCGGCAGAGGGAGCGCGGATTGCTCGAACCAACTCTGTCCTCTGGCATTCACTATTTTTGCTAAAACCCTAGGAACAACCCATAAAAGTACCACCCCCCTCCAGGTGTCCATCGAGTTGAAAGGCTCCTTTTGCTTCCACAGTGGGACCTGGAGGCCAGGACCGTCCAGGCCCCTTGGCTCCCATTCGGCGGCAGGTGTCGCCCATAGCTCCCGCACAAAGCGCTCAATGTCCTGCGCCAAGCTTCGATCCGCAAACAAGGCCTTCAGAACAACTGGCGGGACATCATCCCCGCCGCCAGCGCCAGCGCGCAAAGTGCGAACTGCCGTGCGAATTTCCTCACTGCTAAGATCATCATCCAAGCGGGCGGACACTTCACGAAGGGCTGGGGACACCGGCATGGCATCCACAAAGTCGCGAATCTCGGACGTGATGAACTCAGCTTCCGAGCTAATCTGGGAGAAGTGGTCTTTCCAGTCTGCCGGTCCGAAGGGGTTCTGCTGCGCGGTCTTCACCTTCCCGCCTTGCTGGATGCAACGCAAGGTCCTGAAAAACCGGAAGGAGTCGGCCTCCTGTCTTGGGTGAGAGGCCAGGACCTCCTCCCAGTGTGATTTTTCAAGCTCTCTCTGGAGCTGTCGCTGCCTTTTCTTCAACTGGTTGTGCTCTTGTCGAAGTTCCTCAATTTGAGCGTCCACCTCGGGGGCGCGCTCCTGCCCAGAACTCGTAAGGGCCCTTTTTTGTCGACGTATGACAGTGCACCGGTTAGCCAACGGCGCCAGCTGAGCCTGTGCCTCTCTCGTGCGAAGCCATGGCTTGCGGCAAGATCGTTGCACAGGACCACAAACTTGCAACGTATGCCGCGCCACAATCTGTCTGAAGTCAGCAAAGGCCACAGCTGTAGACTCAGGCCGAGCAGCAAGCTCCTCTTTGACTTTGGCAGCCAATGTCACACGTGCTTCCCGAGCAGCATCGGAGTTGCCGCGTAGGGCCTGCAAGTCAGGGCGCGTGCGCACCCCCGTAGGTCGTGGCCGCCGGCCACTCTGCTCAAGGCGGAACAGGTACTCCTTGGCCGAGTGTTGTGTCTGCAGTGGGTCGGTCACATGGCGCAGTGTCATGCTGGCCACCCTGGATAGGTGTCGCCGCGGCACAAGCATCCAGTCGAGTTCATACCACTGCTTGTGAATGGCGGAGTACCATGTGCACCTATGGCGGTTGCCAATGGCCGGGCGGAAGCTGTCAGCATGCACCCAATCCCCTAAAGCCAGAACCTTATTAAACGCAAGCTCATCTAGCTGGTGCCTGCACGGTGGTCGGAAACGACCGAGTATCCCAGCAGGAGGTTCATCCTCCGTCGGTTCCGGCTCGAACAGCTGAGCATTGAAATCGCCTGCAATGACTTGTGGGATGGAAACATCTACGCGCCTAATCAAGGGAGAGGCTTGGGGGGTGAAGGTAACCTCACATCGTGACACAGCTGCCACATCATCCCAGAACTCTTCGATGTCCTCAGATGAGGAAGTCGATACAGGGGCCCAAACACCTGACACAAGCCACGCTTGGGCCCGAGAGACCTCAGACTCAGCAGGATCCCGTGGCAAAATCAGAGTGACAACCCTGCCTGACGCAGAGCGGTGTTTCGGGGCACCGAGAGAGTGCCAGGCCGCACTCCACACTGGGTTTAGCAGCACGCCTACCTTTCCCGTGTGCACAAGTTCCCAACCCTCCCACTTCCAATGGCGGTAGGTCGGTACGGCTTGCTGACGGAGGGCCTGCGAGGTGGGGCAGCACTCAGGCACCACAGTGACCTCCCAGCCGCGTCTAGCAGCCAGCCATACCAAAGACTCAAGCTTATCAGGATTGAACTTTTCCATATTGACAGACCCTATGCGAACATAACCCTGTTGGGATTCAATCTGTATACTGGGCAATAGAGGACGCTCTTCCTCTGTCCGGGCAGCGATGCGTTGCTCTCTTTGGTGAAGATTCCACAAATGTCTGCGCTTCTGCTCTCTCTCCTTCCTCTGACGGTCAACCACTCTTCGATGGTGACGTGCATGACGTGTGCGATTGCGAGCGCTTTGGACGTGCTCATTCGAGTCATCGGGCAACTCGCGCAATTGCGAAAAACTGGAACCAAGGAAACGTGAGGAACTTGCATGATAAACCAAGCCACTTCCACATGTTTGGCTTGTGCTGCTGGAGACGGGTAGGGGCGCAGCAACACTACCTACCCCCATCGAAGAACATTGTAAGTTGGGTTCACGTGGCACGGTACAATGGGAAAACTGTTGAGGCATCATACCGCTGGCAGGGTGACATGCATTTGCTTGAATTGGCCCTGCGCCTTTGCCGACTCCCTTGGAGACTTTAGTAGCAACCTGGAAGTCGTCCGCTGTGCTGCCCGACGAGGAGGACAGTGAACCACTTTAGCACAGCCAAGGCTCCTGCGGCAGATGTCATACAGCGCCTCGTTGTCGTACATGATGGTCACATCTGTGTGCTCCAACAGGGAGTGGACGCAAAGGACCTTGCTTCATCGCTGCATTTCGACAAGGACCGTCTGCACCTAAGGACCTATAAGACTGCTGCGATGGCCCCTTGTGTTCTCCTCAAGCAGTCCTCTAGGATGGAAGGAAGTGCCGATGACAACAGGCTGGAACACACAACTGAAACCACAACACAGAAAGGCGCGGATGTCCTAAACTCGGACGAGGCGCCGTGTTGTACGGTTCGACCACTGCTGTTGCCACCTGGGGGCAGCACCAGACCGTGAAGGAAATCTTGCTCTTCTTTCCGTAGTCCACGGACAGGCGCCTCGGGCGAAACTCTGGGAATCCTCTGCCCCAACGAAACCATCTAATGGCCTTCAGATGCCTTCAGACCATTCCAAACCACCTAAGCCCCATTCACCACTTCTAACCCTATGCGCCGCTCTCAACTCGAATATGAAAGGCCGAAACCTGAAGCCCCAGAATCCGGACAAGGCGCTCAAGCATCAAGCAACCCAAGCCGGAGCCGGTGCCTCCGCCGCAGGCCTCTGAAGTCGCGCAATAAACAGATTAAACAGCCTTCTATATGCTGAACATTGCTGAACCTTCCCCTCGAGAGAAACTGGAAAGAATCTTGGAGCGGCCCAGGAGCGTTGTACACGCAGAAGCCCTGCAAGCCAGTGCCTCAGTGGAGTGGAGGCAAAGCTCAGGTGCTTAGGGAAAGGCACGCTGCGTGATCGGGGAGGCTTCTGGCTCAGGTGCTGTACATGCTCTAGGGGCTGCGGAGCAAGCTGGGCTTCACGGGGCGTGCGTTTACGGTTTTGGTTGTCAGAAACTGTTTGGTGCCAGTTCCAAGCCGACAGCCCAGCGGCAGTTGTCGGCCAACTTGCGGATCCTCCGATGAAGACCCAAGCGAGCGCAGGCACATGGACAAATGCAGGAATAATTTCTGCCGGCTTAGAAAGCATACTGGTATGCCGCTTGCTGGTTTTCAACTATGAACCGCCACGAGCCCCTCATGATGCAATCTTTGCAAGACTTTCAGCAACCCTTTGCAGAACAAAACGCAACTGCCGGCTCCTGTCGAGCACCAGGTCAACAATCTCCTTCCCGATCGTGTAGTGTCCGCGTGCGAAATTGTTTGCCTGAGTTGGGCCAGGCCGCTTGCCCACACAACTTTCTAAAAAGTCCGCGAATGAAGTCGGGGGCTCAACGTGTTATGTTTGGGTTGAGTTTGCGGATTAGGCTTCGTCCGCTGAGAGAACAAGCCAAGGGGCCGCGTCCTCCTTGCCGGAGATCAACTGCTCCGGGTGGAAAAGCTGACGGTACGTGCCGGTGCGCACCTCATCCACGACGGTCGGCTCGAGATCCTTAGAATATTATTTTACGGTAGATGCGCAATCCTGGCTGGTGGGATGGACGCCAAAGGCTTGGCAAGAGTGGTTGTAGTGGTATGGGAGTTAGAGGCTCTAGCTGGAGTCCAGTGGGCTATTCTAAGCTAAACAGACCGAGAAGGGGCCTGGCGAAGCAGAGTGCGTCCACTAAATCATTGTTTCTGATGAATAGGGGGGAGGCCCCGCCCCCCCCGCCCCCCCCCCCCCCCCCCCACCCCCCCCACCCCCCCCCGCGTGGCGAGAATCAGGGAAGGGGTCCCATTAGTTCCTAAAAAGGGAGGGGGTTGGGGGAGGCGGGCGGAGAGGGGCTGTCCTCTTGAATCCTTTTTCAGCTCCTCTTCTCCTTTCTTGGAAGACTTATGTTGCTTTCCCTCCCCAACCTCTTTTGTCAAGCAATTCAAAATCTCTGCGCTTATCGCCATCGAGGGCCTACCGGGCTTTCCATTTTTTTTAGGGGGGTTTGCAAATCCCAAACTCTGGCCTGAATTCCGGATGCGTAGTAAGGAATCGCAGTTTTCTGCTGCAGCCTCCAACACCACAAAAACTCGAGAGCACGTCGTATGATCAAGCAATTCGCGTTTCTCGTCAAGGCGGGCCGGCGATCTTTCCATTATTTCTGCAGCCTTCAGCATTTCCACCTTTTTTTAATCTTTTTTTGGGGCCGCCAACGCTTTTTCTTTAAATCCTGGGGATGATTTTGTGCATTTTTGAGGTTTTGGCTCCGGTAATAGACAGGGAGGGCTCCGGCCAAAATTTAACTTCTGTAAATTTTCGGTCTGTTTATTTATCAGACCCTCGGAGCACGTTGTCTGCAGCCGGCCAAGTGGCAAACCGCTGCCGATTCTTTTGGGCAGCAAGCTGGGGAAAAAAGGGGCGCGTGCATTCTTGAACGCCGTTTTAATACTGCGGCAGACGCCACGTGAGCAGCGCTCGCCTTCGTCTTCTTTCTCTTCTTCGGCCTAAGGCGTCCTTGAGACGCCATATCAACCGCAACTTGAATGCGCTGCAAAAGGCATTTCGGCTTCTTCGCTGCCCTGATGACCAGCGAATGAAGAGCCTCAAGTAGGCCGCACTCTTCATCGCTGGCTCCGCCTTGCTGCACCTGCGGCGCGTGAGTGGACTTGGCGCCCTTGCCCTTGCCAACCTTAGCAGGCGCAGCTGGCATGCCAAGTTTCGTTTTGAAACTGAGTGAAGAGGCTACACCGCTCTGACCTAGCTTGCCTGGCAGCCTTATCTTCTTCGCGGCGAAGGGCCGGTTTTAGAAGGAACGGCGCAGAGGAAAAGGCTTGCTCGGCACGCTGGCACCAGCGCCCCCATCTTTCAAGAAGGGGACGGGCGGGGTCAAGCAATTGAACATGCACATTTGCAGAACGCTTAAGATCGACAACTTGCTGCTCGGAGGGGCTTTTAGCAACCCACCGGAACAGCGCCTCAAACGGGTGGGCTGCGGGGCCGAAGCCTGAAAACCAGAGCAAGCAATAGAATAAGTGACAGCATATAACGGCGCGGTATACACGGCAAGGGCGCAGCAGAAGATTGGGAGACTTGCTGGCACTGTGGGCGGCGGCGCGCCATGTTGCCACCTTGGGCGACACGACCTTGTCTGTCCTCAGGCAGAGGGTCGGAAAATGAATGCACCAGCCCAAGGCAGGAGTTTTTTGCGGCGGCGGGTTTCTTAAACGCTTATCACTTATCACCTCATCACAGATTCTATGGAAGGTTTTGGGGCACTCGGGGCTTGTTGCTGACAAAGCGTCTCGTAGATGTCGGCTGAAATGGACCCCACAGAACTGCTGTCCGACTTCGAGTCCATGGCACAGAAGAAGCGCAGTCGTCAACGTGACCAGAAAAAGCTTGAGACTGTTCCGGGTCAGGGACCCTAACCCCAAAACCTTGAACAAACGTCGAAGTTGGTTTCTGCGTGGCCTTGCTTGTAGAAAAAAAACAACGCCGCTCACCTCAGGATCACCTCTTCTATGGAAGGCTTTGGTGCACTAAGCGTCTCGCAGATGTCGGCTGAAATGGACCCCGCAGAACTGCTGTCCGACTTCGAGTCCATGGCACAGAAGAAGCGCAGTCGTCAACGTGACCAGAAAAACCTTGAGACAGTTCCGTGTCAGGGACCCTAGCCCCAAAACCTTGGGCAAAAGAGAAAAGGTTGCCCACCGACTCGGGCGGCCTTTTGGAGCTTGTGGCGCCTATAGCGATTTCCTGATCGCGGCGAGGGCGCCAACAAAATTGAGCCCAAATCCGCATGACTCCACTGCCACTGAGCCTGAGCCTGATTTCAAAACCAGCAGCAAAACATCCATCCAATCTGTGGCGCAGGACGATTCGTCGAAGATCCCTGGCGCTTGTGGTCTGCTTCTCAAGAAGACTGGCACGGACGAAGCGAGCAAGCCGAAAAATGTGTACCTTCCTATAACTGACCAGGGCTGTGCTGTAGCCTATACAACTCACATCTTCTTGCGCCGCCTTTGTCGGGCCGCATAACAAAGCCAACAAGCCCAAGGGCTAAGGGATCTTTTTGAGGCAGCAGCAGCTCCGCCTTGACGTTGACGGTGCTCCTTGGAGCTTACATGTGGACACAGTCTTTGGGGGAACGCCGGTGAGCCGACTTTTCTCCATGCCGCAGCTTCGCGAGACGGCCTGATGTAGTATTGCGCGCCCTTCTCTTTCTCCTGGGGCGGTAACCGTTGCACCGGAGTGGTCTACCGCGATCGCACGCCAGTTGCTCGAAAAAGATACCTCGGACAACACCCTTGTAGAATGCCTTGACAGGAATTGGAGTCGACCTTGAGGTAGCCTTCCCGGTAGTCGTCCTTGTGGCCATTCTTGGAGTGGCAGTGTCTTTTCTTCCAGCCACAAGCTGGCGACGACACTACGGATGTCTCTTTTGCAGCTTGTTCAAGTGCCCTCATCAGTGAGCTTTTTTGGGACTTGACACCGCAATCAGGACAACGATCTCTCAGTTGGGGGTGTCGTGGTCTTGTGCACCTTCTGACCAATGTTGCCCGAGACCTCCTCACAGAGCGGAAGGTAAGAAAACTCCGTAATCCTTTCCCCCGTATGCTAAACCGCACCCTGATTTTGAATAGCATTTTCCCGGACCCTCCCGGCACCCAGCCCAATACAAAACCTGTTTGAAAACAAGGAGGGGATTTTGAGGGCCTCCACCCTTGAGTTGAGCCATTAGGGTTTTGAATTAAGGTTTAGGGCTTAAGGCTCAAAGGGTTTTTTCAGAGTTTAAGGCTCAAGGCTCAGAGGGTTTTATTAGGGTTTAGGGCTTTAGGCTAAACCCTAACTGAACCCTAAACCCGATTTGTCGCAGTCACTACCACATCTCTCTCGTTTTTGGCTTTGGGGCTTAGGCTTCGGATTTCGGGTTCTAGGGTTCAGGCCCCCCCCCCCCCCCGATTTTGAACAATTTTTCCTGCCGAGACGAATTTTAGAATTACCGGGGCGGGTGGTGGGGGTGGGGGTGGGTTTAGTATTAGGGAGATAGGATTTTCAAGACTTTGTCATTGTTAATGACGGGGAGTTTGACCTCGTAGGCCCTTGTAGGCCTTGGAGTCCTCCACGGGGCCATTGAACAGCAAATCAACTTTGGCGGAGAGTTTGTGTTTTAGGGTTTAGGGTTTAGGGTTTAGGGTTTGAGGGTTTAGGGTTCAGGGTTCAGGGTTTAGGGTTTAGGGTTTGGGGTTTGGGGTTTAGGGTGTAGGGTGTAGGGTGTAGGGTGTAGGGTGTAGGGTGTAGGGTGTAGGGTTTAAGGTTTAAGGTTTAGGGTAAGCTAGGTGGATGGTATGCGACACAAGCCACGCGGCTCTGGGACTGTGGGGCAGTAAGGGGAGCCAGAACACAAAAGCAAACTGCAAAACTCAACAGTGACAGGCACAGCCTCTTGAACTAAACCCTGGGACGGGGTTCACGCTAAGCAAAGTAGTGAGTGCTTGAGGCTATCAGATGTGTCGACACCCGCGATGCATTCTGCAGGTTTAACAGCCACTGCAAGCCCCATCAAGAGCCAAACAATTGTTCGTGCAAGAAACATCGCATGGCGACTGAGCTCCGGTCAACCATGACGCAGCGCGGGACGTGCTTGCCCGCACCCGTCTCTGAGAAGAAGGTATTGAAGGCGTCCTTGATATAATTGATTTCACCTTGCCGTGCTCGTCAAAGACACGACAGTGCCCTCGTCAAAGAAATCCACTCACGTGTTGATGGAGATGTCGCTCTCTCGGGGGCGACGCTCCCACCTGGCACTCAATAATGCTTGCCGAACATGAACTACATGTCGCACCACAGCAGCATCGTACTCCTTGTTATTCAGGCGTGGCCACGCAAAGCGGCGTTGCATGAAATCCTCTGGGACAGCCGGCCTTGTAGCAGAAAAGGCCTCGCACGGACATAGCCAGCATTGATGATCCCAACCAGGAACAACGTGACTGAAACACCACTGACATTGATGTGGCAGAGGCTCCTTGCACTGAACAGCAAAGAGGGCATCACTGACAACCCCACCTCCCAGAACAGCTGCAGCATGAAGTCCATGCTCACTTGCAGCTGCGATCGCCGCTTTGAGCCTGTCACTGTCATACTGCACGGCTTGAGCCACTGCTTCAGTAGCATCTCTTCTGTCTTGAGCCAGGAAATTGCTGAAACATTGCTTCCGCCATGATTCTCGCAGTGCATGATCGTGGAGGTCCTTGTCTCGGCTTTCTCTGTCCCAGAAAATATCTCCAAATTCTGCGTGGCGCCATCGCCAGGGGCCAACGTCTCTCCAACCTAGCTTTTTGAGCCAGCGATTTACTCGATTGAGCCAAGTGCCAGCGCGCCCTCGGAGGTCCCAGTTTTTTGCACAGCCAACTTTGTACGCCCCCCGCAGCATACTCCATGCTTGGAAACCTGTGGTGAAGGAGCCATCCAACCTGTGTCCGAGGAAGATCATCCGCAGATATTTGGACCAAGTAGTGCTGGCATCACGTAGCCCAGTTCGCATGATTTTGGCAAACTTGCGAAGTTCTTGTCGAGGTTCGCGCCGCCACCATCCCCATTGTGCGACCGCAGCAACCGAAGTGGCCAGGAAGGTCTTCATTCGCTCACGGCCTTGAGAAATGAGAGCAACTCTTCGCGCACGACGATCCGCTTCATCCAAGCGAGCATTGCCCGTGACCAGAGGTATATCTGGAGCAGCAGCACCAGCGAAGTCGACACCTAGGATGCGATGGGTATCAACCACGACCGACTCCGGGCAGTCCAATTTGGCGGCGAGCTGCTGCTTGAACTGTTGACGCTTGCCGGCGCCACCCCTTGGGACGATGCGGAGCTTGCTTTCGTTTTCCTTCATGCCGAAGCGGGGAGCTTCTCGTCGCCAGCTGTTGACCAGGGAGACGGTCGCATCCAACGATTTGACTACTGTGTTTCGGTCATCTACATAGGTGACCGTGGTACAGTCATGATCTTGAGCAGTCATGTCTTGTTGGACTTGCTGTAGAGGACCACTGAGCAGCGCCAAGAGTGCAAGAGGGCTGAGTGGATCGCCTTGAGGTAATGACTGGCAAACCTCCTGCGCCTCAGGGTGCACATAGTGCCCAAGGCAAAGCCAACGTACTTGATGACCCCATACCCAATCTAGTGCCGTGGCAAGTTCGGTCGCGATGCCTGCTTTTCTCAAGGCATTGATGCTCAGGTCCGGGCTTGCCCGGTCAAACGCTTCCGAGAAGTCCTGACTGACGATTGCTTCGCCGGCGCTGAAGGCCTCGTCGAGCACCGCAATTGCTGTGTGAACTCCCAAACCAGGAAGGGCTCCGTGGGCACTGCTGGGCTTCCATGAATTCACCCATGTTTTGAACTCGTCCTGGCGGGCCACGCAAGTCATAGTGACTCTCCAGAGTGTGCATTCAACCGAAATGGGTCGCATGTCCTTTGAAGAGAGAGGTTTGCTATGACTACGAAGTTGAGTAGCTGAAGCCTTGGGAATGTGCACTTGCTTGATACATCGCCAATCCATCGGAAAAGGGCAGCTTTCTTCCTCGCGAGCTCTTGCGAACCAAACTTGCAGAAGTTGAGAGAAACAGTGCCAAGCTGCCTCGGGGACTGCGGCTACTTCGTCTCCACTCCACCCATCCAGGCCTGCCGCTCTGCCGGCTTGGGATTTGGCCGTGGCGGCGAGCTCGTTAGCTTTCGGGCATCGCCATGCGTATGTGCAATCGGCCGGGAACTTGTAGGCGCTTTGAACCTCCTCCCATCTCACCGGGGCCCTGTCCCAGATGCTCCGCCAGTGGCGGCGCAAGCAGTCCAGAGCTTCGCCAATGGTCGTAGAAGCAACGCTGGGTTCCGTGACCAAGAAAATAGAGTTGGGTATTCTGCACAACCCCTTTCGAATCCATTTGAAGGCTCCATTGGTCCGCATGTTTTGACGCCATTGTTGCACACGAGCTTTGCTTTTGTCCTTGACTTCGGCAGCTATTTGGGCCTCAACCTTGCGGAGGACGTGAACGGTCGAGTCCGTTCGAGCATCGAAGCCAATGGCCCTGGCCAGTTTTGCTTGCAAGCGCTGTCTGCAGGCCTGTTGGTGGTCAGGAATCCTCATGAGAGCACGAAGACGACCGGCCGCAACGCGAAGTTTGCGTTCAGGATGACTTCCTTCACCTCCTCGATGAGCGCCGTGCTGCCAAGGCCGCGGTTGTAACGCGGCTGCAGTTCCTTTGGGTCGCTTGCCAGCTTCGTGCACGGCATGGTCCCTTAAGGCATACCGGAACATGTTTTCCAACGTAGAGCAAAACCACCAGTACTGTTCTTCAGTGCTAGCTTGCAGAGGAACGTCCCCACAACATTCGGCCCAAGCACGGTCCAAGTCCTGCTTCCACTGCGCAGCTGTAGTGTTGTCGGGCTTGGCATACTTGACCGTAGTAGGCAAGCTCCACGATTGATGGACTGGGGCGGTGGAGTTGTAGAAGAACTCCACCACTTTGTGATCGCCGTACTTTGCTTCCCAGTGATTGTGCACCTCAAAGATCTGGGGGGTGTTTGTAACCAGGTAGTCGATGGCGCGGTCACTTTCCCATCGCGTAGGAACCCATCGTCCCTTTTCAGAAAGCGCCATCGTCGTGGCCCCTCCTTCGTGAAGCAGGGTTTGCAGAGAGCAAACGTCCGGCTCTTCGTTGTAGTCCCCCAAAGCTGCCCACGTCTCGCTGGCATCCAGACTGGCAATGACCGAAATCAGCTCCATGTCGTATCCGTCGGTGTGGAGAACCCATGGCTTGGCATGTAGCGCCAGGAAAACACATTCTTGGACTTTAACCGCAACGAAGCTTCCATCCGTCCCACCGTAGTCTGCAACAAAGCGCGCCCGAAAATGTTCTCGAGTCAGGAGGACCGTGTCATGGCTTAAGCGACCATGTTCATGCACTGCCGGGGCTGCCCAAACCAAAAAGCCTAGTTCTCGACATTTGCGTTCGAAGGAGTTGAGCTGCGCGTCCGTCATCTGCACTTCTTGAACTGCAACTATGTCACAAAGACCCAAAGATTCCAGGAACTCCCAACTATTTTCACGGCCCTGAGCATTGAGGCTGACGACCCTCAGCGGGCCTGGCTGAGGTCCCGGATGAGGATGAACGTCACCATCAGCACACAAGTCTCGCTGCCACCCCGCTAGAGGCGACAGCGGGACTAGTCACTCTTGCTGCTTGGCAATGAGGTTCGCCGCGAAGGTGCGCTCGTCACTGTTGAGCTCCCAAGCGGTCCACAGACGTTTGAGGCCGGCGCTGTCCTTGTCCTGGATGTTGGTCATGAGGGCCCGCTTGAGCCTGAGCAACGACTTTCGCAAGCTTCTGCCTCTGCACTTGCCTCTCGTGACTGAGCCAATTGCCTCGAAAACCGAAGTGCAAGTAGTACAAGTGATGACTGTTGCAGAGTTGCCGTATCTGGCGTTCACCATGCACAACCTGTGGCCGGTTTTCTTTTCCAGCTTTTGGCGCCTTTTGTTGAAAACAGCAGCCCTTTCTTTGACCAAGTGGTGCGTAGCGTCTGCGTGCCTTTCACGGAGCAAGCCAGAGGCGGCGACCTTTTTCCGATTTTGCATCATGGAGAGCTTGGAGCATTTGGCCAAGTGCTGCAAAGCAAACTTTCGCAGAACCTGCTTGTCCATGCACGGAAGTCCACCCTGACACTTTGCACACGTCCATGCTTGTTGACGAAGAGGAATGGGTCCGACCGCTGCCTCCGCTGGCTGGGCGCGGATGCGGTTGAATGCCGTCTTGTCCTCGCCCTTGTGCTTGCGTGCCAGGTGGTTGGTACGTCTCATAGTCGTCCTTGATATACTTATAGTTTGTGACTGGGGTGGATTCCAGATGCCTTTTGGATCTTACATGCAGCATCACACCCGTTTTCAAGTCAACCCTGCAGTCAACCTCTCAACTCCCGACGCCCGAGCTCGACCATCTTTCAACCGGGCGTCATCTCCGCCTCCGATGGTCTTGTCCTGAGATGCACCCATCTACGCCGCGAAGAGCGTGGGATTTTGGATGGCTTAGGGCTTGTAGCACCGCAGTACTGAAGTAATGGCCGGCAAGGGTCACTGGGCATCTGCCCGTCCGGCTGAATGCCATGCTCAAGGCAGAAGAGCTCCCAGCAGGCATTTCCGATCTGCACGCCGCCCTGCAGGGATCAACGAACGGCACGGCCCCCTGATCCCCCGACCCCCTGGAAACGCAACTACGCCGACGAGGGTGCAATGCAACAACGGGCACACACACACAAGGGACAACGAGCCTGAATCTCGAATGCCCCAAACCGCCCCAAAACTCGAACCCCCAGCCTGGCCGATGTGGATGCAGATGGCCTCACGCATGGCTGCGAAGGGAAGTCGAAAGACTGGAAGCTGTTGGAGGGCGTCCTCAACCACCGCGCGATGTAGCGGCCTCAAACACCGATCCTTTGAGCCGAAACGAGGAGGAAAGACGAGGAAAGAAGAGTCGACAACCTAGCTGCGAAAAGAAACTCCGCAACCCCGGGCGCAGGAGCAAACCGATCTAGTATCTCAGTATCTCCGCTGCAAAAGCGAACCAGATGGCACACAACTCAACGAAGACGTGCGCTTCAAGTTTGACAAGACATGCAGCAGCCAAGCGTCGTTTAGAACCCTATAGGCCCCTGCCCATTTCTCGCTCGCATGCAATGTCGGCTGTATGTGTCAGCAAGATGCAATTTCTCCTGCCGTGCACATCAGCATCATGGAGTCACAGGGCCTGGGTCATCACACCGCCAAGCGCCTAAAGACACTCTGGCCGTGCACTTCCCGAGTGGCACCTGGCAAGCTGCCTCAGAACTCGTCTCCGTATCCTTCTTCCTCGCCTTCTCCCTCGGCCTTGGACACATGTCAACATCTCTAGTGTGTCCATCGCTTTTGGCTTCGCAAAGGCCACAGCAACCCACGGAGCTGCTTCCAAGTTGGACCAAGGGGCAGTTTCGATGCCCACCTGCGGTCTCGGGTGCAAGGCAGTCTCTTCGCAGAAAGGGTATAGGTGACAGTGTGAATCCCAGCCAACAGGCCATGAAGCCCACGTTCACACAAGCCGACCACTTGACCTACACGAGCCCTCTTCTTCCCATGACGGGGGCCGCACCAGTTTGGGGCTCAGGGCTTATTGGCTTGTACAAGTAGTTTGTTCGGCAACCCTGATGCCCGGCCTCCTCGTAGTCCTTCTCCAGGGCCGCCAGGTCCTCGCGGGCCTCGGAGAACTCGCCCTCCTCCATGCCTGGCCGGGCCAAAAACAAAGCTGTCTCCAGAGGCTCAGACGGTTGCCTTCCTTGGATGGCTTCATGGTCAGTCGACGGGTCCTTCGCCGACGTAGTGGTGGACGAAGGCGCGCTTCCTCGCCAAGCCCGGCCCGGGATCGCAACCGAAGTGTTCCAAGAACTCTGGCGGATATGGGGGAAACGGGGCGCAAGACAACTCCCAATAACCTTTACCCCAACAAGCATTTAGGAGATCAGGACGTGTAAGCAACTAGGCTTGTCCGTTTGAGAAGCCCACGGCTCTAAAGGCTCGAAAAAAGGTCCTCAAGCGGTTGGACGTGGGGCCCAACCCTGAGACTTTGAGAGACTCACGTTGGCCGAGAGGCGAGTACATCAAGTCGAACTTGTGGTCGATGCGCGAGAAGACTTCCTTGGCGTGGCACCGTCAAGCCCATCAAGCCACGAAACCCCTGAACCTCTCGCAGCATCATACAGGGACCCGGACCTGCAACCCTATAAAACAGCCCCCAAACCCAACAAAAAACCGCGAGCAAGGGGTCCGCGATGGCGGTGGAGTTCGAGATCATGCAGCACGCGCGCATGACCTTGGCCAGGTCTCCGCCTGAAGGCTTGGGACGGGCATTCGCAGGCTCTTGGAGGGAGCAGGAGCGAGCTCAGATGGGATGCCGAAGAACACGATGCTCTCATGTCGGTGTGTTGATGGTGGTCAGGAGTGCGTGGTTTCTTTCATTGCTATCTTTATTTAATTATGTTCTTCTTTTTGTTGGGGGGGGGGGGGGAAGGGGGATTCCGCAGAGGGCACGAAACTTGATCTCCAAGCCATTCCAAGCCCCATACGAACATCCCGGAACCACCCACCCCAAAGCCCTGCCTGGGACGACGGTCGGCGGCTGGTAGTTGATGCCGCACTTGAAGCCGGTCGGGCACCAATCCTCAGCGACGTCATGCAGGGTTGACTGCTTGAGGGCGTTCGGGCCGTTCTGGGAGGTTGCCGTTTGGGATACTTAGGGCAAGAGTCAGGAAGTTCCAACCCACCCGGGCAGAGTCCAATAAGGAGTTTCGGGATTGGGTGTTGAGGATTGCGGGGGCGGTGCTTTCTCTGCTCTAATTTGGTTTCAGCATGACTCCATCCGGCCGAGAGTCCACGAACTGGATGGTGCGCTTGGTCTTGATGGTAGCCACTGCGGCGTTCACGTCCTTGGGCACCACGTCGCCACCTGAGAAGCCGTCTGAAGCTTCTTTAGAGACAGAGGGGCTTCAAGTAGCTCAGCTCTCTGCATTACCCGGGCCCCGCGCGGTACATCATGCAGCAGGCCATGTACTTCCCATGTCGGGGATCGCACCTGAGTCGGATTGAGGCTGACTTGTTTCTTGGTTGCCGTTCTAATGTCAGCTCTCTCATGAAGTCGCTGACGCAGTTGCCAGCTGCTGTTTCCTGGCTACACGTGCACCGTTGGCGCACGGAGACCCTCTAGCTTCGTTGCCTGCTTACCAGCTCAAGTCGGCCGAGATGCTTGACCATCATGGAAGCCGGCTCAAAGACGGACATCGTGATCTCGGCCACGGAGAGCTGCTCATGGTAGGCCTTCTCTGCGGAGATGACCGGGGCGTAGGACGTCAGCATGAAGTGGATGCGCGGGTAGGGCACCAGGTTCGTCTGGAACTCGGTGATGTCGACGTTCAAGGCTCCGTCGAAGCGAAGGCTGGCCGTGAGGGAGCTGATGATCTGGGCGATGAGACGGTTCAGGTTCGTGTAGGTCGGGCGCTCAATGTCCAAGTTCCTGCGGCGGAGGTGAGCTGGGCAGGACATGGCCCGTTCTCTCAAGAGCCCGGCCGAGGAGAGCCGCCCCAACTGTCCAGGCAAAGTGTCCAAAACAAATGCCAAGGCTCCTGCGGCAAATGTCATACAGGGCCTCGTTGTCGTACATGATCGTCACATCTGTGTGCTCCAACAGGGAGTGGACGCACAGGACCTTGGTTCATCGCCGCATTTCGAGAAGGACTGTTTGCGACGTGCCGATGACAACAGGCTGGAACACACAACTGAAAAACAACACAGAAAGGCGCAGATGCCCCTAAACTCGGACGAGGCGCCGTGTTGTATGGTTCGACCACTGCTGTTGCCACCTGGGGGCAGCACCAGACCGTGAAGGAAATCTTGCTCTTCTTTCCGTAGTCCACGGACAGGCGCCTCAGGCGAGACTGGGAATCCTCCATTTCAGTGACGCAACGATTTCATGGCCTGCACCCCTCAACACTTAAGCCTCATGCAACACTGCCAACCCCATTTGCCATCTCAACTCTCAACCGAACGGACAGGCGCCTCGGGCGAGATTCTGGGAATCTCCCCCCCCTCCCCACGACGCAAAAACCATGGGACCTTCAGCCTAACTAAGACCCAGCTGAAAGCCGCCTAGACCCTGGAATTCGGAGAAAGGGGCTCAAGCATCAGGCAGCCCAAGCCGGAGCCGGTGCCTCCGCCGCAGGCCTCGGCTGTTACATTTCGAAGTCGCGCAAGACACAGCATATGCTGAACATTGCTGAACCTTCCCCTCCAGAGAAACTGGAAAGAATCTTGGAGCGGCCCAGAGGCGTTGTACACGCAGAAGCCCTGCAAACCGGTGCCTCGGTGGAGTGGAGGCAAAGCTCAGGTGCTTGAGGCAAGGCACGCTGCGTGTTCGGGGAGGTTTCGGGCTCAGGGCCCTGTACATGTTCCAGGGGCTGCGGAGCAAGCTGGGCTTCATGGGGCGTGTGAACTTCAGTTTGTGTAGGGCGTTTACGGTTGTGGTTGTCAGAAACTGTGTGGTGCCAGTTCCAAGCGGACAGCCCAGCGGCAGTTGTCGGCCAACTTGCGGATCCTCCGATGAAGACCCAAGCGAGCGCGGGGCACATGGACAAATGCATACTGGCATGCCTCTGGCTTATCCACAACTGCGAACCGCCACGAGCCCCTCACGATGCAGTCTTTGCAGGACCTTCAACAACCCTGTTGCTGCGGAACAACCGCAACTGCCGGCTCCTGTCGAGCACCAGGTCGACAATCTCCTTCCCGATCGTGTAGTGTCCGCGTGCGAAATTGTTTGCCTGAGTTGGGCCAGGCCGCTTGCCCACACAACTGTCTAAAAAGTCCGCTCATGAAGTTGGGGGCTTAACGTGTTTATGTTTGGGTTGAATTTGCGGATGAACTTCTGCCCCCCAATGCTCGTGGAGGCTTCGTCCGCTGAGAGAACAAGCCAAGGGGCCGCGTCCTCCTTGCCGGAGATCAACTGCTCCGGGTGGAAAAGCTGACGGTACGTGCCGGTGCGAACCTCATCCACGACGGTCGGCTCCAGATCCTTAGATTTTATTTTACTGTAAATGCGCCATCCTGGCTGGTGGGATAGACGCAAAAGCCATGGCAGTTCGAGTTAGAGGCTCGAACTGGAGTGCAGGGAGCTTTGGAAGCTAAAGGGACCGAAAGGGGCCTAGTGAAGAAGCAGAGTTCGTCCACTACTTTGTCTGCAGCACTTAGCACTTAGCACCGGCCAAGTGGCCCCACGCTGCAGATGCAACCCGAAGGGATAGGTGCAAAAAGCCATCAAAGCAACCCGAACGCTCGGGTAGGCTGGCGGTACCAATGGACGCAACATGCGGGGTGTCGCTTTTCAAGTGTTCCTGGGAAAAGTCAAGGCTTTAGCCCACCCAACGGCTCATTAACTCAGGGGTGTCGCTCTTCAGGTGTTCCCATCGCTTTGCAGGGTTTTGGGCATTGGTGTCCACCCCTTACTTACTTGAATGGCCGGGGGTTTTGGTGCTTGCTCATGTGTGAAAATGCACCGCCACCAAGGCAGTTGAAGTAAACCCCATGGGACGGCGTTCACACTACTACTCATGCGCAGCAAATCGGAAGGCGACTGAGCTCCAGTCCACCATGACGCAGCGCGGGACGTGCTTGCCCGCACCCGTCTCTGAGAAGAAGGTATTGAAGGCGTCCTTGGCGGGTTTCTCACTTTTAGAGCGGAATCTGGCAGGAGAAACGCTGACAGACGAAGTTGAAGTGCAATGGATCTCTGCAGAGTTTGTGCACCATAGCCATAGTGCACATGTTCTCATGGGGCCTTGCAGGACTGGACGGAGTAACCCGCACCGTGCTTTGCTATGCCTGCATCTCACAGATCACACCGCTTTCAACCCTGCGGTGAACCTCTCACCTCCCAACGTCCCAGCCAGGCGACATCTCCGCCTCCAATGGTCTTGTCCTGAGATCATGCACTCAAGTACGCAAAGCGTAGGATGGCTTAGGGCTTGCAGTACTGTAACTTGTTGCGAAACACCATAGTACTCCAGAGCTGCAATTAAATTGCTGGCAAGGGTCACTGGGCATCTGCCCGTCCGGCTGAATGCCGTGCTCGAGGCAGAAAAGCTCCCAGCAGGCATTTCCGATCTGCACGCCACCCTGCAGGGATCAAGGAACAGTGCGGCCTTTTGGGTGCAATGCAACAACGAGACGCCCCAAAACGCCCCAAAACGCCCCAAAACGCCCAAAAACGCCCGAAAACTCGAACCCCCACCTGGCCGATGTGGATGCAGATGGCCTCACGCATGGCTGCGAAGCGAAGTCGAAAGACTGGAAGGTCGCGAACTGTTGGAGCTCAAACACCGATCCTTCGAGCCGAAACGCAATGGAACAAACTCGCGAATAAAACTCCACAACCCCGGGCGCGAGCGCACAAGGATCTAGCACTTCCAAAGCAAAACAAATGTTGCAAGTATGTAGTTCGAAGAACGCGTTGCAGGCTAAGGCAGCTTCCAGTATCCCCTCACTTGCTAAGCAGCAGCCAACTTTCGTTTAGGACACTGCCCATGCAGGCCCCTACCCCATTTCTCTCTCGCATGCATGTCGGCTGTATGTGTCAGCAAGATGCAATTTCTCCTGCCGTGCACACCAGCATCACGGAGTCACAGGGCCTGGGTCATCACACCGCCAAGCGCCTAAAGACACTCTGGCCGTGCGCTTCCCGAGTGGCACCTGGCAAGCTGCCTCAGAACTCGTCTCCGTATCCTTCTTCCTCGCCTTCTCCCTCGGCCTTGGACACGTGTCTAGTGTCAATTGTCCGTTGCCATTGTCACAGAAACCAGAGCATGCACTGAGCTGCTCCCAAGTTAGACCAAGGGGCAGTTTCGATGCCCACCTGCTGTTTCGGGTGCTAGGGCGGTCTCTTTTTGCTAAAGTCGCAAAAATGGATATCACATGCTCGCCCAACAGTTCAAAGAAACGTTCAACCAAATCGGCCACGTGACCTCCGGCTTACGGCCCAGGGTGTTTAGGGCTTGCAAGACTGTAACAGGTAGCAGGGTTTAGGCAAGCCCTAGGCAACCCTTGATGGTTTTAGCTGGTCTTTTTAATAGTTGAAAGGGGGGACCGAAACCTCAAAGAATCCAAGTAGGGCTCCTTCTAGACAACTGGCTCAACCAAAGAACGGGTACCCTTTTCCTCCTATAGGTCCTACAGGTTTACCGGGGAACAGAGGCAGTTGGGTGTGAAGGACCTGGGACCTCTTGCGAAGAAAAGGTTGGCCCCACAGCCGCAAAGAGCCCGGCCTCCTCGTAGTCCTTCTCCAGGGCCGCCAGGTCCTCGCGGGCCTCGGAGAACTCGCCCTCCTCCATACCTGGCGTGGCCAAAACATAGCTGTCTCCAGAGGTTGAGACGGTTACCTTCCTGGGTGATGCTGGTTCTAGCTTTGAAGGGCTTACAAGCATTGGGGCTCCATGGTCAGTCGACGGGTCCTTCGCCGACGTAGTGGTGGACGAAGGCGCGCTTCCTCGCCAAGCCCGGCCCGTGCTCAGAATGAGGGGTTCCAAGAACTTGCATATGGGGGAAAGGGGGCGCAAGGCAACTCCCCAATAACCTTTAGGGAAAACCACTCCCAATACGCCTTGGGAGATCAGGACTTTTTGTCCGTTTCAGACGCCTTTCACAGTCCCTGGAGCTTTCCAAAATCGCCAAGCCCCAGAGCTCTGAAGGTTGGGAAAGAAAAAGCACCTTCGAGCGGTTGAACCACAGGCCCGAGACTCTCGTTGGCCGAGAGGCGAGTACATCAAGTCGAACTTGTGGTCGATGCGCGAGAAGACTTCCTTGACAGGGCGATCCCAACCCCTCAAATCACGAAATCCCTGAACCTCTCGCAAACCCCCCTCTGACCCCTACAGGAAGATCTCCATCATAAACCCTATCAATAAGCCACAAAAGCCAACACAAAATTGCGCGGCAGAGGGTCCGCGATGGCGGTGGAGTTCGAGATCATGCAGCACGCGCGCATGACCTTGGCCAGGTCTCCACCTGAAGGTTTGGGAGTCGGATGGGATGCCGAAGAACAGGATGCTCTCATCAGTGTGTTGATGGTGCTCAGGGTTGCGTAGTTTCTTTAATTGTCATTTTTCTGGGGGGTGGGGGGAAGGGGGGAAGGCGGATTCCGCAGAGGGTGCGAAACTTGAGCTCCAAGCCATTCCAAGCCCCAAACCCTGAACATCCCTGAACCACCCAACCCCTTGCCTGGGACAACGGTTGGCGGCTGGTAGTTGATGCCGCACTTGAAGCCGGTCGGGCACCAATCCTCAACGGACGTTCATGCAGGCATATTGAAGGGGGGTTCCGCAAGTCGGCTAGTGTGGGGTTGCAGAGTCCGGCTTATCTAGTTAATCTAGTTGAGCCTCATCGAGCGACGGGCTAGGGCCTAGGGATTGCCAAATGGCCTCGAGCGTATGGCATCTACCGTTCTTGATGGTTCTGCTGATGGGACACGTAAGGATTCTCTACTGCTTCAGGGCTTGGCGTTCAGTATGGCTCGCCATCGGGCCCAGAGTCCACGAACTGGATGGTGCGCTTGGTCTTGATGGTGGCCACTGCGGCGTTCACGTCCTTGGGCACCACGTCGCCACCTGAGAAGCCGTCTGAAGCTTCTTAAGAGACGGAGGGGCTTCAAGTAGCTCAGCTCTCTGCATTACCCGGGCCCCGCGCGGTACATCATGCAGCAGGCCATGTACTTCCCATGTCGGGGATCGCACCTGAGTCGGATTGAGTCTGACTTGTTTCTTGCTTGCAGTTCTGATGCCAGCCCTCTCAAACATGCCGCTGCTGCAGTGTCTGCTGCCTCCTGGCTACTCGTTGCCAAATTTGCCAACTCAAGTCGGCCGAGATGCTTGACCATCATGGAAGCCGGCTCAAAGACGGACATCGTGATCTCGGCCACGGAGAGCTGCTCGTGGTAGGCCTTCTCTGCGGAGATGACCGGGGCGTAGGACGTCAACATGAAGTGGATGCGCGGGTAGGGCACCAGGTTCGTCTGGAACTCGGTGATGTCGACGTTCAAGGCTCCGTCGAAGCGAAGGCTGGCCGTGAGGGAGCTGATGATCTGGGCGATGAGACGGTTCAGGTTCGTGTAGGTCGGGCGCTCAATGTCCAAGTTCCTGCGGCGGAGGTGAGCTGGGCAGGACATGGCCCGTTCTCTCAAGAACCCGGCCGAGGAGAGCCGCCCCAACTGTCCAGGCAAAGTGTCCAAAACAAATGCCAAGGCTCCTGCGGCAAATGTCATACAGGGCCTCGTTGTCGTACATGATGGTCACATCTGTGTGCTCCAACAAGGAGTGGACGCACAGGACCTTGGTTCATCGCCGCATTTCGAGAAGGACTGTTTGCCACGTGCCGATGACAACAGGCTGGAACACACAACTGAAACACCACAGAAAGGCCAGATGCCCCTAAACTCGGACGAGGCGCCGTGTTGTATGGTTCGACCACTGCTGTTGCCACCTGGGGGCAGCACCAGACCGTGAAGGAAATCTTGCTCTTCTTTCCGTAGTCCACGGACAGGCGCCTCAGGCGAGACTGGGAATCCTCCATTTCAGTGACGCAACGATTTCATGGCCTGCACCCCTCAACACTTAAGCCCCCTGCAACACTGCCAACCCCATTTGCCATCTCAACTCTCAACCGAAAGCCCGAATCCTCAAACCCGGAATCCGGAGAAAGGCGCTCAAGCATCAGGCAGCCCAAGCCGGAGCCGGTGCCTCCGCCGCAGGCCTCGGCTGCCGTAAAGTCCGAAGCACCACAAAAGGCCTTCTAGGCGCTTGCTATGTGTAGTGTAGTTCTAGCGCTCAAAGAGCCCAGAAGCATTGTACACGCAGAAGCCCTGCAAGCCGGTGCCTCGTGCAAGGCAAAGCTCAGGGGAAGGCCGGGTTCAAGGGAAACCTGCGTTGCGTGTTCGGGGGGTGTTTCGGGTTGGTGCTCTGTAGGGATTGCGGATGATTCCAGAACTGGGCTTAGGGTCCGTGGTTCACAGACTGCATTGTAAATGACCTGCCTGAAAGCTGAAGGTGTACGAGCTTCAGCTATTTAGGTGGTTAGGTCTGATGTTGCCTGGTTCAATTGCTTCAGGGTCTGCACTCTCAGAAATGCAAGCAGGTCAGCCCAGCAGCAGTTGTCGGCCAACTTGCGGATCCTCCAAACGAAAGCCAAGCGACGATGCAGGACGAATTTCTGCTGGCTCAGAAAGCATTCTGGTATGTTGTGGTATGCCTCTGTTGCTGATTCTCAACCATGAACCCCTCGCAATCTTCGCAAGACTTTCAGCAGCGCTTGCCAGTGCAGAACAAACCGCAACTGCCGGCTCCTGTCGAGCACCAGGTCGACAATCTCCTTCCCGATCGTGTAGTGTCCGCGTGCGAAATTGTTTGCCTGAGTTGGGCCAAGCTGCTTGCCCACACAACTTTCCAAAAAGTCCGCGAACGAAGTCGGGGGCTTAACGTGCTATGTTTGGGTTGAGTCTGCGGATTAACTTCTGCGCCCCACGCTTGTGGAGGCTTCAGCACCTGAGAAAACGAAGCCAAGGGGCCGCGTCCTCCTTGCCAGAGATCAACTGCTCCGGGTGGAAAAGCTGACGGTACGTGCCGGTGCGCACCTCATCCACGACGGTCGGCTCGAGATCCTTGGAACATCATCACAATCATCACCATTTGTGAAGATGCAGGCTGGGTCATGGCCCGCATGCCGCGCAAGTTCACTCAAACCTGGCATGCTGTTGCGCTGAGCGCGTCAGCAACGCTCGGGTGGATGGTATGCGGCAAAAGGCAGCGAAGCAACACAAAACCCAATGAACATGCGACAAGCAGTTGAAGTAAACTCCATGGGACGGCGTTCGCATTACTACTCAAGCGCAAGCAAATCTGAAGGCGACTAAGCTCCAGTCCACCATGACGCAGCGCGGGACGTGCTTGCCCGCACCCGTCTCTGAGAAGAAGGTATTGAAGGCGTCCTCGGCGTGTTTTTGACTTTCAGGGTGGATTCCGGCAGGTCTCGTGGAGCAATGCTGACAAACGAAGCGCACAGATTTTGCGTACCATAGTGCACATGTTCTCATGGGGCCTTGCAGGACTGGACAGAGTAACCCGCACCATGCTTTGATATCTTAGGTGTGTGAAGCCTGGATTCAGATGTCTGTATCTCACAGATCACACCGTCTTCAACCCTGCGGGTAACCTCTCAACTCGTAACATCCGAGCCAGGCAACATCTCCGCCTCCAATGGTCTTGTCCTGAGCTCATGCACTCGAGTACGCAAAGCGTAGGATGGCTTAGGGCTTGCAGTACTGTAACTTGCTTCGGAACCCCAGAGTACTCCAGAATACTGCAAAAAGCTGGCAGGCAAGGGTCACTGGGCATCTGCCCGTCCGGCTGAATGCCATGCTCGAGGCAGAAAAGCTCCCAGCAGGCATTTCCGATCTGCACGCCGCCCTGCAGGGATCAAGGAACACTGATCCCCATCCCTCAAAACGAAATACCGCCGATGAGGTTGCAATGCAACAACGAGCACACAAGGGACAGCGAGCCAGCCCCAAAACACCGCAAAACACCGCAAGACTCGAAACCCCCGCCTGGCCGATGTGGATGCAGATGGCCTCACGCATGGCTGCGAAGCGAAGTCGAAAGACTGGAAGGTCGCGAACTGTTGGAGCTCAAACACCGATCCTTCGAGCCGAAACGCAATGGAACAAGCTGGGCAAATCTCGCGAATAAAACTCCACATCCCCGGGCGCGAGCGCAAAAGGATTTAGCCACAGCAAACCAAATGTCACAAGTCCAAGAACGCGTTGCAGGCTGAGGCAGCTTCAAGTTTCTTAATTGATATGCAGCACCCAACTTGGAAATAGAACACTACCCATGCAGGCCCCTGCGCCTTTCTTTCTCGCTCGCATGCAGTGCGGCTGTACGTGTCAGCAAGATGCAATTTCTCTTGCCGTGCACATCAGCATCATGCAGTCGCGGGTAAAGGTGCTTCCTGAGTGGCTTCTGGCAAGCTGCCTCAGAACTCGTCTCCGTAGCCTTCTTCCTCACCTTCTCCCTCGGCCTTGGCCGCACATCTAAGAACCCTAGAGACCCCAGAGTCCGTCGCCTTTGGCTTCGCAGAAGCCACAGCAACTCACGGAGCTGCTTCCAAGTTAGACCAAGGGGCAGTTTCGATGCCCACCTGCGGTTTCGGGTGCAGGGCAGTCTCTTCGCAGAAAGGGTATAGGTGACAGTGTGAATCCCAGCCAACAGGCCATGAAGCCCACGTTCACACAAACCGACCACTTGACCTACACGAGCCCTCTTCTTCCCATGACGGGGCCCGCGCCAGTTTAGGGCTCCGGGTTTGTCGGCTTGTACAATTCGGTGTGAGGCAACCCTAAAGCCCGGCCTCCTCGTAATCCTTCTCCAGGGCCGCCAGGTCCTCGCGGGCCTCGGAGAACTCGCCCTCCTCCATGCCTGGCCAGGCCAAACACGTCGCTGTGCTGAGAAGGCCGGCTGTGGGCAGTGCCGTCTTTGCATCATGCTGGTGCTTTCAGCTGAAAAAGCTATGTAATTTGATTGCTTGTGATGCTTGGGGCTTCATGGTCGGTTGACGGGTCCTTCGCCGACGTAGTGGTGGACGAAGGCGCGCTTCCTCGCCAAGCCCGGCCCGCGCTCAGAATGAAGTTGTACCAAGAACATTCGCGGATATGGGGGAAAAGGGGTGCGAGACAACTCCCCAATGACCCAATATGGCCGAGAGGCGAGTACATCAAGTCGAACTTGTGGTCGATGCGCGAGAAGACTTCCTTGGCATGGCACACCAAGCCCCTCAAGCCACGAAACCCCTGCGCAAACCCCCCTCTGGACCCCCTACAGGGAACCACCCTGACCCGGAACCCTATTAAGCCCCAAACCCAACACAAAATTGCGGGCAAAGGATCCGCGATGGCGGTGGAGTTCGAAATCATGCAGCACGCGCGCATGACCTTGGCCAGGTCTCCACCTGAAGGCATAGGATTTACTCAGGGTTTCCCGGAGTTCGGGGTTCGGGGTTTAGGGTTGTAGCAGTGTTGGGGTTGAGGTTCTGGGCAGTCGCTGTGGGGGTTGGGAAGGGGGGGGGGGGGGTGGGAGGGCCGGACCATTCTAGGAAGGAATCTCGAAGAGCGAGATAGATCCATGTCAGGCCACAGTCATGGTTCTCTGAAGGGGCTTGTGCTCTCTCTTACACTCGGAGGTTCCAGGCCAAGCCAGATGCAAGAATCGTGGGTTCTCTACCTGCTGATGGTGCTCAGGTTTGCGTGGTTTGGGGGAAATCTGAGCCCCAGGCCCCTTTCGCTGAACATCCCTGAACCCTAAGCCCTTGCCTGGGACCACGGTTGGCGGCTGGTAGTTGATGCCGCACTTGAAGCCTGTCGGGCACCAATCCTCAGTCGGGCTTTCTGTTGGGGGGAACAAGGGGAGGTTGCAACCTATGATGCTTCGATTCTGTGCGATGGCGGACTGGCGGAGTCGCCTTCGCCCCTCAATCATCCGAAATATTCTCAACCGAACTCCAGCAACGGGATTGGCATTGCCAGACTGCTGTTACGACTCCGGCGATTGGAGTTGAAAGGATTTTCAGGCCCCGGTCTTGAGGATGAAGAGGCTGCACTTTCGCTGCTGCTTCAGGGCTTGCGGTTCAGCATGACTCCATCCGGCCCAGAGTCCACGAACTGGATGGTGCGCTTGGTCTTGATGGTGGCCACTGCGGCATTCACGTCCTTGGGCACCACGTCGCCACCTGAGAAGCCGGCTGAAGCTTCTTAAGAGACAGAGGGGCTTCAAGTAGCTCAGCTCTCTGCATTACCCGGGACCCGCGCGGTACATCATGCAGCAGGCCATGTACTTCCCATGTCGGGGATCGCACCTGAGTCGGATTGAGGCTGCCTTGTTTCTTGCTTGCCGTTCTAATGTCAGCTCTCTCTCATGAAGTCGCTGACGCAGTTGCCAGCTGCGCTGTTTCCTGGCTACACGTGCACCGTTGGCGCACGGAGACCCTCCAGCTTCGTTGCCTGCTTACCAGCTCAAGTCGGCCGAGATGCTTGACCATCATGGAAGCCGGCTCAAAGACGGACATCGTGATCTCGGCCACGGAGAGCTGCTCATGGTAGGCCTTCTCTGCGGAGATGACCGGGGCGTAGGACGTCAACATGAAGTGGATGCGCGGGTAGGGCACCAGGTTCGTCTGGAACTCGGTGATGTCGACGTTCAAGGCTCCGTCGAAGCGAAGGCTGGCCGTGAGGGAGCTGATGATCTGGGCAATGAGACGGTTCAGGTTCGTGTAGGTCGGGCGCTCAATGTCCAAGTTCCTGCGGAGGAGGTGAGCTGGGCAGGACATGGCCCCTTCTCTCAAGAACCCGGCCAGGGAGAGCCGGCCCAAATCTCCACGCAAAGTGTGCAAAACAGATGCCAAGGCTCCTGCGGCAAATGTCATAAAGCGCCTCGTTGTCGTACATGATCGTCACATCTGTGTGCTCCAACAAGGAGTGGACGCACAGGACCTTGATTCATCTTGATTCATGACTTCACAAAAATTGTGGACCGGTTGCGAGGTGCTGATGAGAATAGGGCGGAACAACACACGAAAACTTCAACCATCACGCAGAAACGCGTAGAAGCCCTAAACTCGGACGAGGCGCCGTGTTGTACGGTTCGACCACTGCTGTTGCCACCTGGGGGCAGCACCAGACCGTGAAGGAAATCTTGCTCTTCTTTCCGTAGTCCACGGACAGGCGCCTCGGGCGAGATTCTGGGAATCTCCCCCCCCCCTCCCCACGACGCAAAAACCATGGGACCTTCAGCCTAACTAAGCCCCAGCTGAAAGCCGCCTAGACCCTGGAATTCGGAGAAAGGGGCTCAAGCATCAAGCAGCCCAAGCCGGAGCCGGTGCCTCCGCCGCAGGCCTCGGCTGTCAGTGGAAATACAAGCTCCACCTGCAAAAAGACAGTGGTTGAAGCTTTGCAAACACTGCCCTGAACCCTTCGAAAGGAACTGGAAAGAATCTTGGAGCGGCCCAGGAGCGTTGTACACGCAGAAGCCCTGCAAGCCAGTGCCTCATTGGAGGCGAAGCTCAGGCAGAGGCGGAAGTGCTTGGGGAACAGCACGCCGCGTGCTTGGGGCTGTTTCGGGCTTAGGGTGCCCTATGTGCTCTGGGTTGCGGAGCAAGCTGGGCTTCACACGGTGTAACTTCAGTTTGTGGGACGTCTGCGAATTAGGTTTCTCGTTTCAGAATCTGGACTGTCAGAAACTGCGTGGTGCCAGTTCCAAACGGACAGCCCAGCGGCAGTTGTCGGCCAACTTGCGGATCCTCCAAACGAAAGACAAGCGACAATGCAGGACGAATTTCTGCTGGCTCAGAAAGCATTCTGGTATGTTGTGGTATGCCTCTGTTGCTGATTCTCAACCAGGAACCCCTCACAATCTTCTTTCAGCAGCCTTTGCCCTTGCAGAACAAACCGCAACTGCCGGCTCCTGTCGAGCACCAGGTCAACAATCTCCTTCCCGATCGTGTAGTGTCCGCGTGCGAAATTGTTTGCCTGAGTTGGGCCAAGCTGCTTGCCCACACAACTTTCTAAACAGTCCGCGAACGAAGTCGGGGGCTTAACGTGTTATGTTTGGGTTGACTCTGCGGATTAGCTTGTGCACCCGTCGCTTGAGGAGGCTTCGTCCGCTGAGAGAACAAGCCAAGGGGCCGCGTCCTCCTTGCCAGAGATCAACTGCTCCGGGTGGAAAAGCTGACGGTACGTGCCGGTGCGGACCTCATCCACGACGGTCGGCTCGAGATCCTTGGAACATCATCACAATCATCACCATTTGTGAAGATGCACGGCCATCACGGTTGGGTCATGGCCCGAATGCCGCGCAAGTTCACTCAAAACTGGCAGGCTGTTGCACTGCGCGCGTCAGCAACGCTCAGGTGGACGGTATGCGGCAAAAGGCAGCAAAGCCGGGAAACCCCCAACGCAACATCTGAATGAACACGCGACAGTGAGAGGCAGAGGAAGTAAACCCCATGGGACGTCGTTCATATTATACTACTCATGCGCAAGCAAATCTGAAGGCGACTGAGCTCCAGTCCACCATGACGCAGCGCGGGACGTGCTTGCCCGCACCCGTCTCTGAGAAGAAGGTATTGAAGGCGTCCTTGGCGGGTTTGAGTTTTGCGTGCAATTCGGCAGGCATTATAGACAGGTGAAAGACAACGGATCTGGGTCGGTCTCAGTTATCACAGCGCCGTATTTTCTTGAGGGCTGCTTCAGGAAAAATCAACATTCTGGCGCTTCTGACTGCAAGGACCGGAACCAGACTTTGCTCTGTTTGGCGCGCTGCATGAACCCTCAAAACCACTTACACTCATCCAGGTGTCATCTCCGCCTCCAATGGTCTTGTCCTGAGCACGCTGTCTCAAGCACGAATGGGTTAAGGGCGATGTAGTACCTATGGTCTGGACGGGCCTCGGAACCGCAGAATACTCTGTAGAACTGAAATCAGGCAAGGGTCGCTGGGCATCTGCCCGTCCGGCTGAATGCCGTGCTCAAGGCAGAAAAGCTCCCAGCAGGCATTTCCGATCTGCACGCCGCCCTGCAGGGGTCAACAGCATGGCCCCTGGCCCGCCCGAGATGCAACGACGTCGACTCCACGCTCTCGCTCTTCACACTATCAATAAGAACACGGCTGGAACCTTCATGGGTGCTCTTCATGGACAGACTCTTGGGACAAGCCCTAAATGCAGTAAATTCATGCGTGGTGCTCACGCCCCAAAACTCGAGCCCCCAGCCTGGCCGATGTGGATGCAGATGGCCTCACGCATGGCTGCGAAGGGAAGTCGAAAGACTGGAGGGTCTCGAACAGTTGGAGGGCGTCCTCAACCACCGCGCGATGTAGCGGCCTCAAACACCGATCCTTTGAGCCGAAACGAGGTGAAGACGATCGCCTCAGCCCGGACCCTAAACTGGACCCCGAACTCCACTATGCCGATTCAGGAAAGAGCTTCGGCAAGCAAAAGGCTGAACCCTTTGAGGCGACAATGGGCTTTCAAGCTTGGGCTTTGTAGGATTTCCGGCTTTGGTTAGGGCGGCTGTGGGGATTGTGAGAGCTCAAAGGGCTTGGGCGGAAGGATTCAGGATTTTGCTTGGACTACCACACCCTAAACCCGCAATCCTCAACACTCAACGCCTCATCCACACAAAACCCTCCAAAGTCTAGGCAGGCCAAGGTCAGGGCCTGGCAAGGAGGTAGGAGAACACGCTTGACCTCTTTTGGGGTTTCGTTGGGTGTTTAGGGTGACTGAGGTCATCCCAAAAGGCAGCCCTTCTCCAGAACGCACTTTCCGAACACTGGGCTTCTCAACAGACCGAAGCTGGGTCCAGGACCCTACAAGGGAATCACTCACCTCTAGAAAAAGGACATAGGGGCCCACTCTGGGTCCCAGAAGAATATAGGGGCCTTAATGATTAGAATAGGGTTTGGGGACTATTTTTGTTTAACTATCAAGGGACCCTACGGGAATACTGTTAGTGATTCTTCCGACCCCTATAACAACCCTAAACCCTCTAAACTCTAAACCCTGAACCCTAAACCCTAAACCCTAAACCCTGAACCCTAAACCCTAAACCCTAAACCCTGAACCCCAAACCTAACTAGTAATTCTTGCCCCAACCCCACAGCTGTGCAAAGAGGCGGCTCGACGCGCAGCTTCCGCAGCGAGGACTTGACCTTCTCCTCGAAGCAGCCAGCCTCCGGCCGCGGAAGAAGCGGACCCAAGGGGGGGGGGGGAGGGAGCTGAGGGGGGGTTAGGGGTTTAGGGTTTAGGGGTTTGAGGGTTTGAGGGTTTGAGGGGTTTAGGGATTTAGGGATTTAGGGATTTAGGGATTTAGGGTTTAGGGTTGCTCGAGGAGGTTTGAAGGTTACAGTTGCATATACATCCATCGAAATCATATTCTTCCAAGCTCATTGTCGCTGGGATGTATATGTGGCTTGATCATCATGTAGGTACAATACATAATACAGTATGTCTATCAATGTATGCCACCACCCCCCCCCCCCCCCCCCCGAAAAAAGATCATCAACGCTTCGGGCCCTCGGGTTCCTTTGAACTTAAACCCTATCAACCCCAACCCCGAAGCCGCGTGAGCAGATGCACTCGAAGCACACATACCATAGGCCAACTCCACACCAGCCCCCAAGCTCTCTCAAGTAAGGTCACTACTTGCAAGTTTGTATAAGTTTGTATTTTGACCGTTTGTGATCATGATTATTGTGCAGGGGTTCTTGCGACGTCCAGCACCCCCCTGTATAAATCCAGCGTGTAGGATCAGTGCGGGTTGGAGCTTCGAGCTTCAGGCTCCACATACCACGTGAAGCCACAAACCCTCTGGACCTACCCCCCCAAACACTCAGCCTTCATAGCACACACCAAGCACCCATAGCACACGCCACTTAAGAAGGCCTAAGGGCACCTTCTTGGGTATTACAGGCTCTTGGGCGCGTAGGGTTCAGGGTTTAGGGTTTAGGGCTTGGGGTGGAGGTTTGGGGCTGAATTCCTTTCTGTTCGGAAGGGTTCCCTAAAGTCTGAAGCCTGAACCCAAATCATAACAACAATTATGCAATTATAAATAGCTGCGACTTGTCATGATGGTTTAGGGTTTAGGGTTTAGGGTTCAGGGTGCAGAATACTACCATCATCATCATCATCATCATCATCACCACAACCATAAACCCAGATTGAGCCCGCGCCAGCTTGTCGAGTATGGTCAGGCGGAGCTCCTGAACCTGATAGAGCGGCGGATTTAGGGTTTAGGGCTTAGGGTTGAGGATTGGTGGGCTGATGCTTTTGGAATGCTGGGCTCAGCGTTTTTGGCGTAGGGTTTAGGGCTGCTGGGTTTCTTCATGGCGAGAACCTCCAAGAAACAAGAAGGGTGTGCAGGGGTTTAGGGTTTAAGGTTTAGCTTGGGATGTTCCCCCTTCTACTAACAGTCCGTGATAGGCCCTATTGTAATCCCTATTCAGGACTGTTAGTATAAGGGGGAACATCCAGCCCCAAATCTACTTTTGTCGCTTACCAGCGGCGGGTGGGCCCCAAACCCCGAACCATTCTACCAGGAGAAACTGACACACGCCGACCCCTCTCCTGGCAGTGACCCTGGGAGACAAAGCCCAAAAGCCCACACCCCCTCCCCCTCCGCCCCCCCCTCCCCCCGCATCCCCCGCGACAACCCCCCTCCTCCTTTCCCCCTGACAGAAAAAAGGCCTGAACTATTGCTCTTGCCCCCCCCCCACCACCCCGGCAAAAACAAAAAGTGTACAATTATAAATATGAATATGAATATAAATATCCATATAAATGTAAATATCTATATATATATATATATGCGTATGTACGTATGTATATATATATATATAATCTGTATAAACATAAAGGTTTCTTGTTGGGTTAGGTTCCTTAGTAAGGGTTTAGGGTCCAGGTCGCTGCCTCATCAGCTGCAGTCGAGATGTTCTTTGCCTCGCACGGTCAGGCGAGCCAGTGTGTCGGGTGTGTGCCGAGCCCTAGACCCTAAAACCCAAACCGCCTCAGTCCCGCAGAAGCCCAAAGGAAAACTAACCCTAAATCCACCTTCTACCCAGCCTAAACCTGCATAAGCTCTGGGCTTAGGCGTTTACAGTTTGGAGGTTAGGGCTTCGGATTTCCTGAACCCCAAATCTTCAGCTGAAGCCATGCTGGAGGGTTTTGGTTTCGGATCGAAGGTGTCTTGAAATAAGGACTCTACCAGTACTGCTTTGCGGGTAGAACGTGGAACCCGAATTCCCCAAACAGTGCGTGCACTTTGGTGTTACGTTGGAGGGGCAAAGGGAAGGACAGCATTTCGAGGTGCCGGAGCCGCGCCCGCACACCCACCAGGGCCCCGAATTCGATGACCTTCTCGGTGTTTTTTGTGGGCCCGACATGCTCTTGCCGTTTCCAAACGTGCCGAACGATGACCGTCTCGGTGCTTCCGCGAGCCCAGCCTAGGCGCCGTGCGAAATTTCAGGGCGCGCACACGTCAGCAGAGGTGTCCCAAACATCAGGAACAGCATGGTTTTGGCCTCGCAGCTGATGCCAACCAATCGCTCTCTCGCCCCCAAAGGTCCCGTGCACATTCCGTACTCGAAGTCCTGCTCCCGCCTGGGCTCCGTGCACTTTTTGAGGCTTGCCCCGTTCTGTGTCGCGAGAGCGTGGCAGGGGGGCGCTTCCATGCATCGCGGGCCATTGTGGGCTCTTGGTTGGGTTGGCCTCAACAATATCGTGGTCCCATGCGTAGACTCCTGGCAGAGGGCAAAGTCTCGTCGCGTTTTGGCCCTTGAAGTGCTCTTAGAAGCGGTCTTTGCTCTCATGCTCGTCACATTAAGAAGAAGATGCAAGGCATGGGACAACAACGGATGGTGGGCCCTACGCCGAAACCCAGAGACGTTCACTAAAGCAAAAAACATCAAACTCGGTGCTGAAACTAGAAGCTCACCGTAAGGTTTCAAGTTCGTGCTAGGGACACATAACCGCTAAACCCTGAAAGCCGAGAGAAGGACTTCAGGGTTTAGCGTTTAGGGTTTAGGCGGTTTAGGCATGTTTAGGACAAAGAGAAACTTGCCTCGGAGAAGCCGTCGAGGAAGATGCACAGCTCCTGAGGATGCCAATGTGAGGGAGCGGATCCGCAGGGTCTGTAGGGTCGATGGGATTCAGAGGGTCTATGCGGTTCATAGGGCTTGCAGGGTCTGAGAACCCTAAATCCCCTTCAGCCCTTCGCCCGTAAACCCCGGGTTTCCATGCGCCTGGAGCGTCTCCAGCAGCCTCGACGCCTCCTTGGCCTCTTGCAGGGGGTCGTCCAGGTCATTCCAGCCTCTGAATTTTTCGGGTTTCGGGTTTAGGGTCTTGGGTCTAGAATTTAGGTGTGGTAAAGCCGTTTCGGAAGACTTTTGGGCACAGTTGCGCCCCAGACCAGCAATTTGACCCTCGCTGGGACATCGGAACAAGAAGTGCAGCCTGAGGCCCGTGCACTTGCTCAAGGCTGCTACGACCTGGCACCGTGGAGCTGCTTTCGGCATGTCGGTTGGCTTCCGGGGCTGGAGGGTGCCGATGCAAAGCGTGCCGGCGCAAGCCGGGAGTTGGGAGGGGTTCACCCTCCTGCAAAGCGCATGCCATCACCATCCCAAAGTCAGGAAGCCCATCCTCAAGTCTCCTTCTGTGCTTTTCGGGTTGAAGGTTCAAGGTGACGCGTCATGCGCGGGTAGCTCCCTGATCCCCCGAGCAGGGGCCGGCCTGACGGAGGCCTGGCTGCATCACGGCAAGGCCTGACGATGAGATGTGGGGTGGCCCAAGGACCCACAGCAAATTGCAGTGCTTCCCAAACCGTCAAACTCACGCACTCCGTCCTTAGGGGTCCTAGACAGCCTTCGAATCTGGATGTCAGAACTTGCAGAGCTTTCATGCTCAGAACCCCAAGAAGCCTACGACTAGCCAGGGCTCAGAACTGTAGGGA